CCAGACTGACGACAATATCCCACAGAAAGACTGATACTTATTTACTTTTTCATCTTCTCTTGTCGTTAAGCGTCGATGGGAGATGTAGTTTTTTCTGGTAGGCCAGCCAGCTCTGCAGCTCTTTGAATTGGGATATCAAGATTTCTCAGGGTTTCCTTGACTCCCTCAGTCCACCTTTTGTGTGGTCTTCCTCTTCCTTTATCTGTCCCCGTGGTTTTATGCACCCCGCATAATTGAGCAAAATTTGATAATTTTTTGCATAATTTCTGATTATTTTCCTTTATCCATCTTTGTTAAAGTTAACAGAATCGCACAATTTCAAATTTTTGGGCTCAGTTTTGCATAATTTCCCCCCCCCCCCATAAAACCGCGGGGACAGCTTTATAGTATATGTATAGCCTGAGTGCTTGATGTTAGAGGCTCCCGAGGCTGGCAGTGCTTGGTGACCAGGTGGCCAAACCATTACATTCTCAGTCTTTCAGAATCTACTCATTTGGGTCTCCTACATACGACAGCGCAGCGCCTTGCCACTACCCCTCAGACACCGATACCGGTTTCTCTCTCTCTTTTTTTTCTCGAAAGAGTTTTAAGGCACTTGCAACATAATAAGGTCAGTTTTAGTTTTAGTAGAGGTTTAACGGCGCTCGCAACTGCATAAGGTCATATGAGCGCCAGAAGATAAGAGGTGTTACAAGAGTACAAACATAAAAAAGAAGTAGGGGAGATAAGGACAATAGATGTTTGATAGGAAAGAAGAAGCAAACCACACCAGAGTACCCACCAACCACCCACTAATAAGGTCATATAAGCAACGAAGATTAGAGGACTTAAAAGGGAGTAACAGACATAAAAAAGAAGAATGGGAGATAAGGACGATAGATGTTTGATAGAAAAGACGAAGCAAACCACATCAGAGCACCCGCCAACCACCCACAAAGAAAGAAAAGAAAGCAGGGTGAAAAGAAGAAACAAAGAACAAACATTCAGTTCTCGGACAATCATACACTTTATTGAGCTCTGAGACGCCGCAGCAAATTATGTACATAGCAGCACTTTTGAGAGATTGGTTTGGGGGGGGGGGGGGGGGGGGGGGGGTGGAAGACACAGCGAGAGTAATGATAGAAATATGACCAAAAAATAATTCATACATAATGATGAACACATGATGACTCAATGATTGTAATTAAATCCGCAATAAACAGGTTCAGGCTTACACCCAATCATAAACCACATTCCAATTCCAAGAACCCAAAGCTCTGTAAATACTACTACTAGGTACCACAAGTGAAATAAAAAAAAAAAAAAAGAATACCATAACAAGACTATACTTTCCATATAGTGCTCAGTGAAACAAGAACTATAAAAAAAAGTATTATCAAAATCCACCAACAAACACCTGAGATATGTTTCAAATATTTTTGCACTTACAAAAATCGTGACGTGTGCGCAACTGGCTCACAACGCTGTTTCATGGTCACACTACGTAAAAACCGGTCTTGAAAATCAAAAATGTTTTACACATTATTCGACAAAAACACACAAACTTAGCGTAAAAGAAATGAAAATATAATTCATGTAGCTATTGTAGTGATTATAATAGTTCAAAACTGAAAGAAAACATAAAAATGAAGTTTTAAAATGGATGCCAATGTCTTGGAACCCCATTTTCCAAGATACATAAAATAAACATTTAAGGCTGGATAGCTATCAAAATGCAAATCTCAAAAGATATACATACTGAGACTTTACTAAAAATTTTTAAAGGGTTAAAAATTAAATACAAGAGAGATATAATCGTATCCAAGGGGTATACTGGCCAAAAATGCCTAAGGGGAAGACACCAATGACAAAATTGCAGTTTGAGGACATTTTTTAGTAAGTCATCAAAAATCAACTAATTATGCTGGACAGATGTCAAACATACCACTGGAAAGCTCATTCAAAGCTCTATATGAAAAAAGTAGTAGTAACTGTATATCAAGACTGGGTACTAAAGGCTGCTACAAAAAAGTAGGCAACACTTTGAAAAATTAGCAGTGTCCAACTAAACATACGACTTTTTAAAAATTCATTAAAAATCAACTAATTATGCTTGACAGACGTCAAATATACCACTGGAAAGCTCGTTCAAAGCTCTATCTGAAAAAAGTAGTAGTAACTGTATGGCAAGGCTGGGTACTAAAGGCTGTTACAGAAGGGTAGGTGACAATTCTGAAAATTATCGTCGCTCAACAAAACATCGGACTTTTCAAATTTAATTAGAAACCACAAAAAAGCTACTGGATAGCTCTCATTAAAAGCTCTATGTGATAAAAGTAGTAGCAGCTAGTTTGAGTACTTAATGACAGTTACGAAAAAAGTAACGTAAAGTTAAAATTATCATATATATATATATATATATATATGACGTTCTGCTAAACATCAGCTGAATTTGCAAAGATGCAAAAACAGAATCAACCTAAAAAGTCAGTTAGAGGTGAATAGAACTATACCACTGGAAAGCTCATTAGAAGTTCTGTGTAATAAGAAATGAATAACAGTACATGTAACTGTGAAGTACTTTTGATATTAAGGACACTAAGTAAGGAGATTGCTGCTGCTGATGCAGACTCCACATTAGAGCAGGCAGCTGATATCAATTTGTGTCAGCTGACCAATTTGAGAGTGAGTCTGACTTTAAGTTATCTGCCCCAATAATACATCTTGATGTTTTATTTGATCATCATTTGAATTTAACGAAAGATGCAGTTGAGAGATCAGTCTCAGTATTTCCAGTTGTTACCGTTGGAAGACAGTCTATTAAAAAAAAAAAAGCTTTCAAGGTATACCTGAAGTGCTGCATGCAATATCCCCTTTAACTTGATTAAAAATTTTTTGTTACAAATGATTTGCAATGGTTTTAGTGTTCTGCACCTAAAAATATGACAGCCCGACCCTCAAAAGTAAGCAACGTAATGTATAGAGATCTAAGAGCCAGAGTGAAAGTAAAAATCTCGAGATCTAGATCTAGATCTAAGTTCCGTATTAAATTTATCTTAACATATTTTCTAGGTTGGGGAGGACAAAGTAGAACTGTCATTATTCATGATTATTGTTACAGAACCCCTTGACGCTTAACAGTAACGCAACAGAGGGTGAACCCAGTATAATTTTAAAATAAAGAAGTAGTCTGCAATGCCGTAGTAACTTATAGCCCAAGGATTTTGACAGAATGAGATTATAGGATCAGATCTAAGCCCAAGTCATACATAAACATTTATGGTTCATATTTTTATGAATAAAAACACCTTTGGTCAACTTGTTATGAAAAGTAGTTGCATTGAGGTTAAAAAAACTATAAAAAAAAAAAAAAAAGATAAAGTAAAAAATGTTCGAAACTGGAAGCAACATTACTACTTTCTGTTCCGATGGATAGAGATCTAGATCATTTGGCTGTTCCGTCAGTGTGTATTGACACCCGTGAAATGACCAGTAGCTTAAGTACATGTACTAATACAATTTTTTCTCTCTGAAAAACCTGAAGCATGATCTATCTTAAACAACTAAAACTAAAACGTTGAATTACTTATCAAGGAGATTGAACAAATCACACGGTTGGTTGACAGATTAGTTGTTGTTACGCGTATTCCCATCATAATCCGCCCGCCTGCCAGTCGGTCGGTATGTCGAGTGCCTCGACAGCTGCCTCTTCAGCCATTGTAACAGAAAGCGAGTGTCCCCGACACACGCATCCACAGTTTGAAGTCCAATAGCGGTACCACGATAACAAATAGTTTAACAGTACTTGCTTGAATAAAACAAATATATTGTGAACTAACTATACGTGTAAAGCACATCTAAAAAAATGTTCAGAATACTGAGATTTTATCAAAACTCCTCACAACATTGTCTTTCCACTTCAAGTTTTACCATTTTGTCACAAAAAAAACCTGGCCTGCTTAGTATGGGGGTAAAGGTCAGCTTTTGACCTGTCTAACAATGCAGAGTTATTTCAGTACGCACTATCGCGACCGAGCAGTTTGTGAAAGAAAAAGGGTGGCTGTGGCTAGGTTTCGATGCGAGCGCCGGTCGGACGCAAAATGCGTTCATTTTCCCCAAATTTTAGAGCTATTTTAAACACACTTCCACAAATCCATTCTATCCATGAACAACACACATATTAGAGCAAAACAAGCTCTTCCAACTGGTTTTTATTTCATTAAAATCAAGCAATCATGAGTGAAAAGCTGCGTTTGTGAAGTTGATCACTAGGACAGTTTTCCTCCTCGGGAAGAACGCTACTTGCCGTGATCGGCGCACCGTCTGTGGTACCTACTACTACAACTATTTGCATAAAAGTAAAAAGGAAGACAGAAGTAACTCGTGCTCCCATTCCATCTGTGCTGTTTATCATAAAACATACTGCCGATGTGCACCCACGACTTGAAGTTTGAGTATTTCAGAGAGTTTTTATGGCATTTGTAATACAATTAGACAGGCCATATTTATAAGTGCGGATGATTAGGTGTTACAAGAATGTAACAGACTAAAAACCCCCCCCAAAAAAACACAAAAACAACCCAAAATTGGACAGACAACGTAGACCTAGATGTTTGATGGGAAAAGAACAGCAAACCACATGAGAGCACTCGCAAACCACCCACATGATTTTTAAAAAATGAAAGACTTAAACCCAGTGCACACCTATAAACCCTGAGATCTGAGATTCACTCGAATTAAGATGTTACGAAAAGGTGTTGGTTCAATGCCCCTTGCAACACTGATGTAAGTAAGGTTATTTATGAGGCGGAGATTCTCTTCTGTAGGGTGTGAGACAATTATTCAGTCTTAAACAGACCTGCCAACAACTCCAGGGCCAAAAACAAGAAGAGTGTCCTTCAGAATCCTTCTTTAGTAGAGGTCTTACGGCGCTCGCAACTGCATAAGGCCATACCAGCGCCAGAAGATTAGAGGTGCTACAAGAGAGTAACAAACATAAAAAAGAAGAAGGGGAAATAAGGACGACAGATGTTTGATAGGAAAGATGGAGCAAGCCACACCAGAGCACCCGCCAACCACCCTCTCAGAATCCTTCCTAAAAATCAGAGTGTGGGGGGAAAATACTTGGGAATCCCCAGAAACTCAGTAGATTAAGATAATGTTACAAATTGAAAGTAACAAATAAAAGTGTATTGTAAATAAATGTTAAAAAACAAATGAAAATGTGTATTTTCATGTCTTTTACGATCTCACACAAATATTGCAAATAAACCAGTGTATTTCCACATCATTTACGATAATTTGCGTAACGGAATTCAAGCAAGAATCACATTTTATGCACATTGCATCAGGATTCTTCAACAAACAAAATCAAAAATCTGAGGGCTCCAGTTTTATCTGAGTACTTTGCAGGTCTGTGCCTGCAAACTCTCCACCCCCCCCCCCCCCCCAATTTTCTTTCAAACCATGTGCAGAAAACACAACTCAGGATAAACGGGCAAGATACGCGTCGTATCCTGCTATCTGAAACTGCCTGGCAGCCTCCGTAGGATCACTGGCTCCGTAGATGCCACGCCCGACGATGATGATATCCGAGCCGCGGTTGGAGATGACTTCCTGTGGCGTTAAGTACCTCTGTCCGAGAGCATCTTGACCTTCTTTCAGCTGCACACCTGTAGGGGGTGAAAAACAACGGGATTCAGACAACAGTAAATCCGGTAGGATGCACATTGTAAGCTGATAAAACACGTCTTTTTTCCTTTTTGGCGCCAAATATTTTTATTTGCTAAACCGAAAGCCTCATCAGTTATCCAAATTGTGCGAAAAAAATCAAAGCGAAACTGCGACAAGTATTAGAATAAATTTGAATTCAAATTTCGGAAGAACGCCAAGACGTGGATGTCAACAGAGAATTCCATACAGGGAATCAGGATTACTCTGCTCATCTCTCTAGCTTCAGTCTGTTCGGCTACCAAGGCACCCTGGAAATAGCGGGTCACATTGAGACTGACAAACATACAAAAGAGGTAGAGGACAAATGACGATAGTAGGGATTAGGAAAGAAAAAGCAGCAGTTCCCCGTATGCAGTCCAGGCACAGTTATGAGCATGACGTTGGTGAATCAGCCCGTTTACAATTCTACTGAGCAGAAGAGCATGTTAATGCCCCCCCCCTTTGGGAACAGCCTAAAGACACTTCAGTCAGTAGCACCGCCAGGGGGGGAGTGCTAAGAAAAAATGAGATAGACAGACAGACAGAGGGAAAGTAAAAAAGTAGGACCTACTAGTGGCACCCTTTAACCACCTGTGAGTTTGAATATTAATTAATCAAGTTAACAGTGTTTGAAAATCAGGTCACAAACAATACATAATATACATACAGTGGAGTTCACTTAAACCGAAACCAGCGGTATCGCCAGTTTAGAAAGTTTGCTAAAAAAATAGCGAAGCAAATAATTGGGCACTCTATTTTCTTTCGATTTACTGCTGTTTTCAAATTAATTGTGTTGTGTTTAAGCAGACCCCACAGTAGTTTGAAAACTAATCTGTAGATTTTTACAGTGCAAGATGTGGATTGCATATTATGCTCAAACACTAACAAACTGACAAGACCATTTGCTACCTGTAGCCCGGCACCCATCCCCAGCTGGGTGAAGTGACAAAAGCGCATGTAGGGTGCCTTTCCCAAGGGCAGAACGTCGGGCCCATCAGAGGATGATTCAAACCCAATGCCTTACAGTTGCAAGTCCAAAAACCTAAAAACAAGCCTCCGACGCCATAAAAAAACTTTATTTATAGAGAGATTGTTTATTTCAATAAGCGTTTTACGGCACTTACAACACAATCAGAAAAGTGCCGAAGATTACAGGTGTTACAAGTTGTTTGTTACTCCCTTGTAACAAGAGAGTAACAAACACATCAAAGAAGGAGAAGAGATAAGATAAAGACAATACATGTTTGAAAGGAAAGAAGGAGCAAACCACACCATTGCACCCGCCAACCAACCACATTTCGAGAGAGAGAGAGAGAGAGAGAGAGAGAGAGAGAGAGAGAGAGAGAGAGAGAGAGAGAGAGAGAGAGAGAGAGAAAACTTTCTCAATCACCCACCTGGAGTCATGTGCAGCAGCGCCGGGTTAGATGACAGCTTCGACAAACAGATGAAGCCAATGACGAAATCTGGATTTTCTTCAGCTATTTTCACAGTCACTGGTTAAAAAAAAAGACGCGGGACAACAGTTTACTTTTTTTTATTGGATACGAAAGCAGACGAAAGAATATTGTTTGAGTGAAGTAAAGGATGTGAATGGAGAAAATTTTCCGTTGCTATCTGGATTTGAACCCAGGACCTATTGAATAAGAAGTGAACCCCTTAACCTCTAGACTATGAGAGCCCCCCCCTCCCCCCCTCCTGACAGTTTACTTTAGAACTTTAATAACATTGTGTACCCTATTATTAGGTCATACAAACAGGCGACCTTCATTTTCAGTGACTAAAAACAAAAGACGAGTTGCGAATTCAGAATTGAAAAGTTTCATCTGCTCAGTAACCTAGTTTTAAGAAATTTGACATCAAACGTTTTGAGATTCACAAGATGTAAAGCTTTTACGAATGCAATTCTTTGCATGAATATCTTGATAAAGACTCCCAATAATCTTACGATTTTGATAGAGCAGATATAACATATTATGTGTCATGACTCAGAGGAATCAGGCGCTCGTCAATTTTTGTGCATGTGGAGTTATTGGTATCATCCGAAAGCTGATTTATTTGCCTTGCTTTCAATAAAATTAATACCCATCTATCTTGAATGGGACTCAAGATATTTGCAGTTGAACGAAGCGAGGTCGCCTGGTTTCATTGGCGAAATTAGCGAGAAAATGGCTGCCAAAGTTTTGTAACTCCAATAGCTAAAGAGTTCTTGAAAACAGAAAAATGACATATTTTGTGTCTTTAATCAATGTTTTTCAGTAAAATTCACATGGAAATGTGTTTTTATTTGGACATAAAAGAAGTTGAGCCCAAAAATGAAAATTCAATAAAAATTTCCAAACTTTCGGGAAAATGCCTGTTTCTCTGATTTCTGTATTTTGACGAGCGCCTGATTTCATCACACTGCCTCACATATGTTTTTTTAACTCATGGTCTTCGCAACTCAAACTGGCCAAAACAGTCAGATAGAACTTTGAGATTCTAATGTAGCGGTGTACAGCTGAACCTGCTCTCAGGACCACCTGTATAAGTCACAATCACCTGTACAAATGACCACTACCGGTACCCATTTCTCCTCTTGTGTGTGGTTTTTAAAACATTATAAGACATCGGATATACTCTATACAGCGACAAAGCACAGCTGATTACAACCTGTAAATTCTTTACCACATCAACAGACCGAAGGGCTAGAACCCGAATGGCTGCTGGATCGGAAAAGTAAAGTAAAGTAAAAGTAAGTAAAACATTATAATGACATTGTGTAAAGATGTCCACCTGTCTAAAACAGACACTTTTCTACTCCACAATGGGTGACTGTCTTTGAAAGTCTTGACGGTATTTTGGGGGCAGACTGAAAAAAATCTCTGCTACCTTTGTCTGAGACCCAAGATACAAAACAAGCAAAACCAGTGTTAATATTACTTGCCATCCCCACCCCCTCCTCCAAAAACCCAACCTCTTTTTACTTAATACAACTGCATTATGGCAAAACTTCTCTCCGAGATAAATATATAGATCTAGTGGTAACCAACAATAGCACTTTTGTCAAATTGAATACATTTGTGTGTTTAAATATGTGTATTTATGATTGTATGCTTGCCATATAAACCCAAATTTCCCCTCCCGGTCGATAAAGCGTAATTCATTTATTTTTCAATTTATTTATCAACAGTATACACGGATATGTCATACACAGAAGGCTCGAAATCACGCATCCGTCGAACTGGGCTTGCCGTCCCATTTTTCCCCCTTTCTTTATCTATGTAAGATATCCCTTGACTTGAACTACCGTGGCTGGCCCTGATGAATTTGACCTGTCCGTGTTATACCGCATTTAAAAAGTACCTTGAGTATAGTCTCCAGTGGCCAAATTCCCAGCTGAACTCATCTCGGCAATAAGCAAACAGCCGATATCCTTCCCTTGAGCCACCTTGGATGAAAGAGAGGCAAAATCTTAGTATAAATAAAACAGTGAGATAAAGATCATTCACTAAGAGCCAGCATATGAATCTAAACAAGAAACTGAAAATATAAATCTGATTTTCTTTCCCATGAATATACGTCCCTCTATGAATGTATGTTTGTAAAGGTGTAAGCATGCCGCACACGTACACGCGTGTGTGAAGGGAGCGGCTTATTACGTAACATATCGATCTATATCAGCATTCTCAGAATCAGAACAAAGAGTTCCCGAGAAACTGGAACAGCACCATAATAAACCTCAGATCATATACCTGTCCTAGACGTGTTAAAATAATGACAAAGTGCACAGTAAAAAAAAACCCATACGTTTGGTCACACAACAATAATGGGTCTTTTCTAGCCCAGTGATTTTTGGGTTCCGGTCAAACTATCCCATCATCTCTTTGGACACATAATCAACAACAAAATGTACAATGAAGCAAAATTATACAGGTGTGTCAACTTTCTGAAAACCCGATTGAGGGACATCCAATGTTATTTTGTCATATCACATAACTGTAACAACGAACAATATTACATCCAGTGGAACAAGTTTTGGTATGTCGTGTGTGAAAAGGCGGCTCTCAAATTCCCAATTGCTGAATCAGAGGCAGGACAGTCCCTTGAAATTTGGGACAGTTGACAAGACCGAGGATGATGTAGATAAAGTAGAAGCCGTCAATCCTGCCCACTACCCACAGTTTTCACCAGGTATCAAGGACCTTCAACACTCTCACTCCAAGAGATCTTGATCAATGATGGAAAGAAATCGTCATCTCTTTTCCCCATGGGACGTCAATCTTTAACAGAATAACATAGCAACACTCCCCCCCCCCCACCCAAAAAAAACTACAACAAAACAACCCCACTGTAGGAATGATTTCTTTCTCGACATGCATAATTGCTACAGTAATAACTTCCTTCCTGAATGATTGTTCCGTCTTTGAACCCATAAAACAGAATGTATGCGAGTGAAAAAAAAAGAGAAAAAAAGTATACGAGTGGAGTGAAAATTCTTTACAAACATGGAGAAGACATAGCATGAGTGCTACTTTAGGGTCGCCATAAAGAGGATTCGGGTCATTAATGTTTTAGTTTCAATCTTGACTCCCATTTTGATAAAAATGTGCAATCACCACGTTCAGTTTTCTCAATGCTCTGAAAATTTCATAATGATCTCAAAAGAGTTTTTCGTTGTGAAGTAGGTATAGTATTGATGTACTCCAACATCCTCCAAACTCTGCTTCCTGGTATGTGAGGAGAAAGGTTTTGTTTAGTTTTAGTAGAGGTTTTACGGCGCTTGCAACTGCATAAGGTCATATAAGCGCCAGAAGAATAGAAGTGTTACAAGAGAGTAACAAACATAGAAAACTAGAAGGGGAGATAAGGACGATAGACGTTTCATAGGAAAGAAGGAGTAAGCCACAGCAAAGCACCCGCCAATCACCCACAAAGGTTTAGTATTCTACGCCCTGTGCAGCGGGGAAATGTGTTAAAGTTAATTAAAGGCTGAAAAAAAAAACAACAACAAAAAAAACAACCCTCACAGGTGGCAACAAAAGCAAACTCACTTTCTGCAAGCCCTGCACTACGCCTGCACCGGGGACAGTGTGTGCGTTGATGACATCTGCCCAGTCACTGATCCGGTGGACGCCGCCACTGAACTGATGCACCACGGTGTTGCCAATGTCCGCAAACTTTCTGCAAAAAACATCAATGTCATAAAAACAACAACAGTTTTTAAAAAGTTTGAGTAATTAGTAGAGGCTTTTCGGCACTCACGACTGCATAAGAGCACCGAAAAACCTAGACTAAAACCACAGTTTAAGAATTTTTTGTTTTAGTAGCCATTTTACTGCACTTGCAACACAGTTAAGTCATATAAGCGTAGAAGATTAGAGGTGTTTTAAGGGAGTAGCAAAAACACATAAAAAGAAAGGGATAAGAGGACAATAGATAAGAGATAAGAGGACAATAGATGTTTGATCGGAAAGAAGGAGCAAACCACACCAAAGCACCCACCAACCACCCGCAGTAGTTAAACAATGAACAGCGTTAAGAGAGTGGTGATTTCATAAAGAGCGCGGTTGTTGCAAGTGACCAAAAACATGTGCCTGAACACATCAGTACCGTAATGTATGAACCTCTTTTCTCTGTCAGTAAAACGAGAATCCTTTTTTTTTTTAAACGACCCTGCCCAATTCTATCATCTGGCACTTTTGTATTTAGTAAAAATCAACAAACTGTACAGCATTTTGGGTTTTGAAATTAGCCGTTAGTCTTAGAGTAAACATACAGAAAACTGTTTCACATAAATATATAAATAAATACATGAATAAATAAGTAAAATAATATGTTTCTTCAAACGTTTTTTGGTAAGTTACTCATCTAAATGTTGCCATAGCCCCAACAAAACATGAATCCTACTTATTTCTCCTTTCTCTCACAGACACACATGGCTATAATACACACAAGAATACTCCAATCTAAAATTTCTTTTGAAGACGATACACACAGTTGGCCTTTATGGCAAGTTGTAAAATGAAAAATGAAAATGCACCATTTAAAATTTTTATTGTCACCTATAAGAGTTGTTTTAAATCACAAATATATTTTCACTGAATTTTAATATTTTAGCATTTTAAAGTAAATTAGTTGACCAATCGTGCTGTGAACTTTTGCGAAAGTAAACAACTTGTTTTTCGCGCGCTCATATGACCTTAGCAGTTGCGAGCGCCGTAAAACCATATACTACTACTACTACACACAGTTGATCAGTCACGAGTGGACACAGAAAACTTTTCCTCACTAATTTTACTCTATTTTCATTCTCAAGTTCAATTCGAGTAACCTGACAATATTTGTATGCAAGAGAACACAGGTGGAATGTAAGAAAATAAAAATGAAAACCGGATATGGGTACTTGCCTGTCCTCAAAAATGAGAAAATTGTGTTTATTAGAGAGCTGCTTCAGCTTTTCAACAAAGTCATCGCAGAAATCATCCAGGGTATCAGCGTGAGTTTTCACCATGCAGATATGAGGACCTGTTTTGTCCACCAACTGGGAAGAAGTTAAAAAAAAAAAAAAAAGCAAAGACAATATTCAAGTGTGGCAAAAAGATGTTATTTTGTTAGTTTTAATGTATTTGCAAACATGACAGCCCCCAAATCTAAAGATGCAATAAATTCCCTGAGTAGAAGAGAACAAGTCACGATATTTCGCATAGCTGCTGAGCTCTCATTTACAGTTGACGATGAATCAGCATGAAAAAGCTGTCCTGTCTGTCACCTTTATTCAAACAGCCTTTTTTTAAAGCAAATCCAAAAGCGAAGAACAGATTAAGATAGTAGAAATGCAGATCACACCAGAGCTAACCATCTCTACCACTTGGAAAATATAGATCTATAATTTGACAAGTTATTCTGAGACAAAACATTACATTGATCTTTCAAGTAATTATTACCAAAAACAAAAAGCAAAAAAAAAAAAGACAAAGAGGCACATAGATAAACAGCATCGACAAATATTATAGACATACATCAAGCAGCTCTTTACTTTTGGTGACGTCTGCTGACAGCACAAGGTTCGTCTTTTTCTGTTCCATGATTTTCAACAAGCGTCTGCTCACAGAATGGGTGCACTGTGATGCCCGCTCTGCATAGGTCAGGACCTGAGACAAAAACAAAGAAAAAAAATCACGATCATCGAAAGGAAAGGATAGAAAATTCTATTGATCCCGCATGGTAATTTGTTGTACAAAGTCATGCTATATAATAATCAATATAGGTCTACATGTTTAACCTAATAACAAAATCTTTCCTTCTATTGGGGGGAAAAGTGGCTTCTCCCTGTTTCTGTGCCTTCAGTATCATTATCATCATCTTTTTCACCCTGGATCAGGATATAGGCCATGAACAAACAATTTCCATCTTTCCCTATCCCGGGTGAGTCGTTTGATGTCACTCTGTGTCTTCCCACTTTTCTGTACACCCATTTCTGTGACTCTTCTCCAGGTTCCATGTGGTCTTCCCCTTGATCTTTTACCCTGTGGGTTCCAATCTAACACTTTTCCTAGTTGTGCAGCTGCTTGACTTCCTGAGAGTGTGTCCAATCCATTGCCAACGCTTTCTTCCCACCTCATCTCCGACTGGGCTGTCTCGTTCTTCTTAAAACTTCCTCGTTGGTGATCGCGTCTGTTCAGAGCATGCAGTATATTCCTGTCTAACTCTCTGTATTCAAACAGCTGGGTGCCATTTCTAGAAATGTTTTGCTTTTTATTTGAGCCAAACGCTTTCCATCCACTCAAAAAACACATAAAATTAATAACTCTGCCACCGAGCTCAAAAAAGAAAATACACTTTTGTCGGTTTTGAATTTTGCAAGACCCATACTCTTATGTCAGCATTTTTCAGCACGTGAAAATATTACCCAACTTTTTTGGTTAACAGATGCGAAGATAATAGCTCTTTCATTACACGAAGCCAATACAAACATTAAAATGTTGACCAAATCTGACTTAAAGTGCAAAGTACATAGCACACAAAGAGTTAATGCAATAATTACATTCAAATGGCGCTGTGGAAAGATAAAACAATAGAAAAAACACTTGGGTTATAAAGACAAAGAGCTTACAAGTTGCATCATGTAACCACCTATGTCAAAAACACTTCGGTTATAAAGACAAAGAGTTTACAAGTTGCATCATGTAACCACCTGCTATGTCAAAAACAGCCTGCAAGTAACGCATTCCAAAATTGGCACTGCCACAGCACGTTGTATTTACCTTGCAAAGATCAAAAGGCAAAGTCTGACTGGCACTTAACCAACTGCATCAGATGTGATACCATCGCCATTACACAAATTCATCTGACTTAGACAGAATGTGTGCTACCTTTGGCTTGAGCAGGCTCGTCTGTATATCAAAACTTGTAGAAGCCTACCTTTGGCTTGAGTTGGCTCGCCTGTACATCAAAACTTGTATAATAAGCCTACCTTTGGTTTGAGCAGGCTCATCTGTATATCAAAACTTGTATAAGCCTAGATCTACCTTTGGCTTGAGCAGGCTCATCTTACATCAAAACTTGTATAATAAGCCTACCTTTGGCTTGACAGCAGAAGGGACTTGCTGGTCAGGCTTGAACTTGTTCTCTGCGATGTACTTTGTGACTCGATCGACCATCTCCGGAGACATCTTTCCAGCAGAACTCAGCACAGAAAGAACGTCATTCATCGTGAAAATACTGGAAGATAGAATGAACCAAACATCAACACATAGGATAAATACAGTTCTCCGAGAGTCGAAAAACCCCAACCAAAAATGACATCTACTACCGACATACAAATAAAATCGTAAAAAGAAAACATCAAAATTTCAAGTATGATACATTTTTTAAACTTATTAATGTCTTACAAACAAAGGGGTATCATCTAGAACAAGCGACACTTCGAGAACATTTTCAAATGTGAATCGCATGAAGCTGATGATGGATGGTCATGATTGATAGTGGTCGTATTTCACCCGACAGAGAACAAGACAAAACAACAGCTGACAACACACCAAACAAGCAGACTACACTAGTAATAATAATAATAAAAATAATAGATAGCATTTGTATAGCGCATATCCCCGCTCAACAGCAGGCTCTATGCGCTTTACACTATATTATTACCCCAGCAGACCATAGAACACTCAGAAACATTCTCAGCTTCCAGGGAAGCATACAGTGCAAGCAGCTGATTAAGCGCTCAAACACAAACAAGCTGACAAGATCTTTCGCTGTCTATAGCCGGGTACCCATTCCCACCTGGGTGAAGTGAGGAAAATTCGTGTAAAGTGCCTTTCCCAAGGACACGTCGGGCCCTTGACGGGATTTGAACCCCCTGACCTTACGGTTGCGAGTCCGAGAGCCTAACCACTAGGCCACCGACGCTAGTACCCCCTCCAATCACCCAAAAACACACACAAAAAAAAAGACTTGCATCACAAACACGAAGTAGGAACACACAAAGAAAAACTGACAAAGTCTGGAAAGAACATCCCATGCTATGTGAATGCTAGATCTGAATGCGGGCAAGTTCTTTTAAAAAAAAACAATATCACCCCCAATGAAAAAAGTGTGTACTTGGAAGAAGAAATGAAGGCTCAAAGACGAGAGAAGAATGGTTGCCTGAGGATAAGAGCTTAAGATATTCAGGGAGGGCAAATGGGACTGTAGGATCAAAGAGCCTTCAGATTTAAAAAAAAAAAAAAAAAAAAAAAAAAAAAAAAAAAAAAAAGAAATTGAAGACTCAAAATAAAAAATTTAAAAATGCATGTAAAGTGACAACCATTTTTTAAAACACATATTTATACTTAGCACGCACATGAAATTTTTTTTTTAGGCTAAGTATTAGTAGGCTGACAGCAAATACCACTCTACCTGTGTAATTTGATATTATTGGCTGCCAGCTTTTCGGGTCCCCCTTGCTCCCTGTTGAGCAAAACAACAGCATCAGTGACGCGGATTCCAGCTGCCTGCAAGCTCTGATGAAAGAAAACGTGAGAGTTGTAGTGACACTGGGACAGCGGTGTCTAGGAGTCTGAGACAATATTTATGTACCAATACTAATCACTCACACACTTGCGCAATCGATTAAAATAAAAATATTTCAAACAGGGCTAAATAGCTTATTCCGATCATATTTTCAGCAAGGATTCCTCTAAAACAGTGAGCTGCCCATGACTTAAATTTGGAACTATGAATATCGTCATTCTTCATATACTGTGCTGAAGAAAAAAGAGGTGTTTAAATTATTCCCCCCCCCCCCTCCCACCCCAACAAACAAAACAGCAACTGTCTTACTAAAAAATAACTTCCTGGTTTTTTTTTGTTGGGGAACTCTTTTACATACTTTTGAAGATATCTTCATGAAATGATTATTCTTACTTAAATCATAATTTCAATGCTGTAGGCCTATAGTAGTTCTAATCCTAAACCTAAAGTGTTATTGAAAACAAGATGACAGTTCAGAAAGAATCTATCAAGTGTCTCAAAGTGATACATTTTTATATATTAGCCTCTGCCCTTAAATGTCAAACTCATCACATCATTACGCTCTTTTAGAGTTAAGAAAAAAAAGAAAAAAAAAGAAGAGAGAAATCAGGGACAGCTGAAAAAATAGAAGCTTAGCCTGTCAAAGAAAATTGAAGCTTCCCTTACCTCTGCAGTTTCTAAGACACTGGAGCCGCTAGAGACAACATCTTCAACAATCATGCAAACATCCCCTTCGGAAAATGTGCCCTCAATCAATTTTTTCGTCCCATATCCCTTCGCTTCTTTCCGTCGGATCAACATGGGCACATCATGAGAGGCCGACATCAGCTGTGTAGTTACAAGAAGACACAAAAATGCATATATTTCAAACAAGGACGAAAAACATGAAATCGTGGAGGAAACAAAAGAAAAGAAAGAGTGCTAAACCAGGGCTGCCCACCTACCCACCAGCATATGTTTAAGCAATAGACAAATTTAAAAAATCCTAATCTGGCTGAAAAAATTCGCAATATAATATGGCCATGGCATGTTTTCTTCCATGGGGTGTCAAGGACAGGGGCAGTACTCAAGTACACAGGGATGCGAAATGATTTTTGAAAAAAAAAAAAAAAATGAGTGGAGCATGACATCTCACCTAAACCAAACCTTGTAAAGCTTTTAAATGAGCAAAAAAAAACACCACATTCTCTCTTACCTCTCCCCTCTTCGAACGGATGAAATAAATCGGAAAAACTGGACATTTGGCATCCCTGAGTATAAATATATAATAAACAAAGGCATGATAAAAAAAAAAGAAGAGGTCTTGCCAGGCTCTTATCAAGTTAAGAAAAAATAGGGATTGGGGGGGGGGGTGTCTGTGATGGTGTTAGTTACAGCTTGCAAAAACAAAAGAAACCTTTGGCTTTGGAACTACAGAATACATCACATCATGCCACGCACTCACCACAGCTAACTCTTTCAATTTTCCAACAATGATTCATTTTTGAAAATTTTCTTATCGGTCTAGGCTGTCACTCACAACACAAAAGATCAGGAATTTTATTCCATCTTGTCAACCCAATGTTTGTCTTACTTTGGCACTTCTGAAGTCTAACGATTTTTCTAAGGGTAAAGTGGAACTGAGGGAATACAGGGACTCAATGCAAAGAGGACGTGAAAGTTAGTTTTAGTAAGAGGTTTTACGGTGCTCACAACTGCAATAGGTCACATAAGTGCCAAAGTCTAGAGGTGTCACAAGAGAGTAACAAACACAAAAAAGAAGTAGGGGAGATAAAGACGATAGATGTTTGATAGGAAAGAAGGAGCAAACCACACCAGAGCACCCGCAAACAACCTACTTGGAACTTCTGGATTTTTCTAAGCGTAAAGTGGAACTGAGGGAATACAGGGACTCAATGCAAAGAGGATGTGAAAGTAAGACAGCAGCACATGACCTAGTAATATACACCGTCTGGGTCTGGTAGTTTTTCTCCCCCTTCCTAATCCTATTCACCAGGAAACTTGGCAGTGGGTTGGGGTAGCCGAAATTACATACCACAGACACAACCAGACACATTATGACATTTCCCGTTTAAAGGTACAACAAATGACTGCTCAGCTAAAACACGCACAGTAGGGCACAGATAACATGAACATGGAAAACTAAACTTGAAATCATGGGTAGCGATTACAATTTGCCACTCCCCAACCAACATCTTTTAAATTTTTTCTAACCGGTGAAACAAAAATGTAGAGTGTCACACACTACTGTCAATCCCAAAGGTATTCGAGTTAACCGTGCTCGACTGTAATTCTCCAGCTTGCAATGCCACTATCTGTGTCAGCATCATAAAAGACACACGTGAAGAATGAACTACAATATAATGAATATTTTCTCTCATCTCATCATTTGCTGGTTGTCTCCACTTTTCCGAACAAACATAAGGAATCTGCACTGTGAAAGCTACACTTCAGACATTAATTGGTGGGCAAGAAGTATTAATTATTGTTAAAAGAGTAGCAACACCATATAAGTCAGTATAATTATGTAAAACACATACACATCGGAAAGATGTTAACACACACATAAAAAAGTAAAAACAAAGTCAAACAAACCGTGGCAATGGGTAGAGCTGTGTATGGAACACCGCATAAACTTTTGAAATTGCACGAAGAAATTTTCCCCCATAGCAGATTTGCCACATCCACCTGAGGAAAAAAAAACAACAACAACCTGAAACCAATCCATTTACAAACACATATATATAACGAAACAAGTACTTACCAATTGACATATATTTGCAGTAGCAGTGCAACTGAAAAGTTGCTACATCAGTGTTATTATTTATTTTATTATAATCTTCCAACATATTTTTAAAAAAAGTAAGCCAGGAAAGATGAAATTTGAAACAAATCATAATTCAGTTCTGACATGACTTAGTCCCTGAGGTAAGACTGAATCCCCCCCCCCCCTCTTTCATGAGAAGAATAGATGTCTGTACCATTTTAAAGTCACATTGCGATTGATCTGTTTCAGTAGAGCTCCCATGCTTGCTTTGACTAAAACATCCTGTGCGAGTGTGCATGCATCACAGTGAATTAATTTCACTGTCTGTTCATTCGCTCCACCACCACAACCCCATGTCACGCCATGTGTGCTTCTCTGTTTTTAGAAATCTAGTAAAGTCACTACTAGAGCATCCATTGCATAAATTTTAGTGATAATATTATTGGCAGCAGCTATTCGGACTCGAGTCGGAATAGCCTTCCATGACTATTCAGACTCAAACTCCAATGCGTGTACCGGATAGGCAATTCGACCTTGGTCTTCCTCGGTTTCTACGATCTGGCCCAAATTTTCGACACAAATTAAGAAAAGTATATGTAACGTCAAAAGTAAACAACAGTTGCAAAATCTGAAATACTCCACAACAAAGGCAAACACGGAAACGACAGTCTGACCTCAAAGCGGTGAGAAAAAAAAGTGAAAAGCAAAGTTTCAGAACAACAAACTATTATAATAAATAACTATCAATAGGTAGTCTAAACCCGCTTTATGTGAAGAGAAAGACAAAGTCATTGATCTATTGGAAGTCCAGTTAGAAATTAAAAAGAGAAAAATTAAAACCTTCCCAAAGGGAACAAACGTCGGCCAATCAAAGTAACGGGCATTTGAGCTTGAGGACTCGAGTCCGACTAATCACTTCGTAATATAATTAAAAAAATACGCAGTCAGTAATGACAGTGACGTATTTAATATTTTGGCCAGCTTCAAGTGTTCCATCCCATGAGTTGAAGGAAAACGAAGCGCCCATACAGAATTAAAGTCGGGATATGGGACATGGAAAGTTGGATACGGTAAATTTAAATGGGAAACAAGAGGTGAGAGATGGGAAACAGAAAGAGGGATTCAGAAGATGGGACTGGTCATAAAATGTGTACAATAATGACTGTGTGGGGGAAACTAAAAAATGGCGGAAAATTGGAAGCACTGAAAGTTAGATCTATAGAACGAAGACACTTCCTTTTTTCTGGACCTGAGTCCGGACTCGACGGCCATCTGATTTTACTACCCTGGTGTCTGACTGAGCTAATATGCTGTATCTGACTCTTCTAATATTATTTAAATTAGGCACAAATTTTTTATTTTTGATTATATAACCATTGGCACTAGATCTAGATCTAGATCTTATATTATCTTATGTGCCCGAAGGATGAGAAACTACGGATTTTATGTTACAATCCGGGCACCCCCCCTTTGGGCAAAAATGGCGAAGCTGACCTGCAAATTCTCTTTCATCCTTGATGGGGCCTCATATCATATGCAAATAACTCTCCAGCTTTCAGAATTTACCAAAACGAGGAATCTAGGCCACGGTAAGAGCTTCACGCTGTTTTGCTCAGTTGATGAAGAAAAAGCTGTCTTAAGGACAATTTTTAGCAAAATATCGCCGTAACTGTTGTTTCAACGAAAGTAAGGGAGGTTGCTTTAGGTTTGTGTGCCACTCTTTTGAGGCTAGATTTAAAAACAAAGTTTAAAAAAAAAAAACGTGCTGCCCGACCCGGTACGATTAGAATCTACTCTACAAAACTAGGACGGTGCTCACATACTCACCATTACTTTCGGATGAGAGATCATGACCCTGAGGTCAAAATACACAGGGGATTGGATACCACTTTTAAGGGTAAAATCTCCAAATTTAACTGCATCAATAGAATGCAGTTGAATAATGAGAGACTCTGTCGTCGCCGGTGAACAAGACATGATGGAGGCCGCCATATTGCTCTTCACTCTTCACGTCAGGGGGAAATAAATGAGTTCAGTGAGTGCGAGTGCCGTCTAGGGTTGCCAGATTTAATTCTGGCTGGTGAGGGACAGCCACAGAATTCTACACTAGGCCTAAGTGTAGAATTCTGTGGGGCAGTAGAGAGTATTTAATTAATATTATATTTAAGAGTCTCTTGGGGTAGTGGGGCCAAACGACGGGCAATTTTAGAGCCAAATTAGATAGTTTGGGAGCCAAATTCTAAATTTCTGTAACTGTATTATTAATTTTGTCCTATTTAATGATAACAATGATAGATAGCATTTGTACTGCGCTGATTTCTGCTCACCAGCGAGCTTCAGGTGCTTTATATAAGGTAGTCAGTTGCTACTGAGATAACAACAAATAACAACTGATAACAACGAATAACAAATGACTACCTTAAAAACCAAGACCAAGGAAAAGTAACTAAATTTGGGCGTTTGTGTTGATATTTGTCGTTATTTTATTGTTATCAGTTGTTATTTGTTGTTATCTCAACAAAGATAAACACAGAAATGGAAAGTAACAATTTATCGGACCCTCGCCCGCCCCCCCCCCTACTAAATTAGGACGTTTGTGTTGATGTTTGTTGTTATTTTGTTGTTGTCTGTTGCTATTTGCTGTTATCAGTTGTTATTTGTTGTTATTTGCTGTTATCAATTGTTATCTGTAGTTATCTGTTCTTATCTTGACAAAGATAAATACCCGTTCAAAAGAGCCACATTTCTGGGATCTGGCTCCCACTGAGCCAAACCACAAAATTCTGTGAGCCAAACTGACAACCATGGTGCCCCCCTCTTTACTAAAAGAAAATAAAAAAGCTGTGCGCCTGCGGCTGTGCACCGAACTGTGAAAAACACTTTTGGCGCCGCAGCCCGGCTTACGACTCCGTACACACTACAAAGACATTCAGATTGGTCATCCAATGGCACAGAATTCTACACTTAAGTGTAGAATTCTGTGTCTAATGGTAATTGGCCGATCACAAACGGTTTGTGCCATGCCCTGCAAAAAATTCTATTTGACAGGCTTTGACAAGAGACGGGTTTTGCGCAAAATAGCTTTTTTTTTTTACAGCTTGCTGATGGTTCAACTGCAAACAATGGGGTCAGGAAAATAGATAAACCGATAGACCTAACTGCAAGTGTTTGCAAACTACCCCCCAAAAAACCCACAAAACCCCCCCACAAAAAAACACCAAAAAACAACCAACCATAGCAACTAAAGTCGAATACATCCTATATTTTATTTCTTTATCACCCCTGCAAATCTTTGGGTAAAGATTTCCCCAAAAAATCCCTGGCTGTCAGTTCAGACTATACAGCCTTCTTCCCACAAGGAAATGTGCTCATCCCCCCCCCCTCCCAACAACTCCAAAGAAGCAGAATCTGAGTACATAACTAGCATACTTGTGTTTGAAAACTACTGAAAAACCACAGTAGTGGTTCGATGCCAAAATAATTAAAATGAAAGTTATAAGCTCATCCAATCATATGGACACCTAGTTATCTGTGTGATTTTACTTCTTTTCGTGCATATAGCTGCAACAAAAAACGCGGAAAAAAGTCAATAGGCCTAAGTAAACATTGCTTGTATTTATTGGAGAGAATATTCAGCAAATTGAAAAGTTTTAGATAGTGATATAAATCTAAACTTATCAATTACATCAATATAAAATTTTAATATAAGATATAATAGTTAGGCCAATAAGTATAAGTCGGCCGTTTTTCAAAGTTACCGGTTTATAAACCGCCAAGTAAAAATACTAGGGTATCGGCCATCTGGTACACGAATCTTGTTTGTACTTTTAACCAGCTTATTTGAACGTGTAGCTTGGTCACCCAAAGGGCCGTCTGGTTCGTTTTACATGGCTTCTTGTGGAGAAAGCACTATTCGCGCCAGATTCGCTTAGCAAATTTTTTTCAGAGAGAAAAATTTGCTATAAATGTGATAAAATGCCTCTTTTGGGCAAGAAGGTTTTTGCACTTGGAGCCCAGTCACCTAATAATGAACAGGAGGATGCACCATACTTGATTCCCCACACGAAAGAAAGGTTTCAGTCGAAGACGTATCCTTTGCATTTTCATTCATCGGTTGTTTTTTAGTCATTGTTCAGCATGCCGGAACAATCGTTGTTATCTCCTAAATCTTGATCTATGTCCAGGTACGTTTGCTTTCTTTTGCCTTCAGAACTTTAATCCCTGATGCTTGCCTTTTTATAAGTATTTTTATATTTGTGGATTAGTTCTTGTTTTCTTTTCTTGTATTTTTATTGACATGATTTTGACGCTTGCGGTTGTGATTCTTCTGACTGATCAGTTGGCAGCACCTGTCCTGGGCCTGGATGACTGCTCCCAGCTCCTGGAAAGCTTTGCTGAAACGAGCACCTGTTTCTTCCTATCTTTCCTGTTCCACATCTTGGCTAACTCGGCCCTTTCCCTCTACTTTCCTTCTTTGGGAAGGGAGTTCCGCAGATGATCGGCTGACCAACAACACAAAAAAAGAGATGATGTTTTGACCAAAATTTTTGAGCAGGGTACACCTTAACTTAACCTGTAGAAGCCTCAGCGCTTCACCGGAAGTAACCCGCCAAAAATGCCCCGCTACCACGGCCGATCAGTTGTAAACATGGAGGTTTGGCGGGGGGGTATCAGCTGCGATACCAGAGATGTATACCTGCTAACTGAAAAATGAGGCCACCTCTATTCTCACCCGGGGTGAGAATAGAGGTGCGAGTCTTTTGGCTATTCTCACCCGGTGCGCGTTCACCGTTATAGCCTAGATCTAGGCCAACCAATTTTGCGTTCACCATAAACCATAGAATTCTACACTGTGACAACAGAAAAATTGTAGAATTCTGTGCCGTGAACAAACGTTCCATTACTACTGTTAGCCTACTAAAAGCGTACAATTTTGTCTGTGGGCAGTGGAGAGAGAGAGGAGTAATGGCGACCCCCCGTTGTTCGGCTCGATTCGAAAGTGAAATAGCCATAGCATCTTTGTAGTCGATAAAATTAGCTTACTTTTGTGCTATAACGTAATCTTTTCTTTGCCTCATCCACATCGATAGAAAGTATTCCGAAATTAGGAAAAACAGGTCTTGTTTCACACCGGGTGAGAATAGCCTACGGTGGCAAGTCTCACCCGGGGTGAGAGGTCGATCGTATTTCTATTCTCACCCCGGGTGAGAATAGCCACTTCCGAAAAATGACCATTTAGGCCCTACGGCTCAACAGATGAGAAAAGACATATAAAAGCGTATCTTTTCTTAAAGCTTATATATATAGAGCCTGAGTATAATATAGTAAGTAAGGCCTGTGCCGTGCGCTTCCCGGGTAGCCCGGCTCACGCCCTTTATATAGAGGGCCTGCGCGCTTCCAGGGTCAACCCTAGCCGGTACAAAAGAATGTGGGTCCCATTTAGTGATAACTAGATCTAAGGAGTGTGGGTTTTTGGCTCCACTGACGATTACTTTTTGTAATCGCATGCCGATATGGCCTAGGCTTAATTGTAAAACATCAAATAATGGTCAAATTCCCCCTGAAACCACCCTTGTTAAAAAAACAAAACAAGTGAAATTTTACCTCTCATTGTGTAGGCTACTGAAAAATAACTGCGCCTCTCTCGCTTTCGTTGGGATAAAACATCGACACGGAATATTTTTGTCAGTATCAATATCCAGTAGTCTGTGTGGATGATGCCAAGCCTAAACAGACGGCGGCGGGACCCACATTCTTACTTAAGTTGTACCCCCTAACCCTAAATCTTGTTTGTTTAGTTCGCCCAGTGGACCTTGACACTGTAAGTGCCGGCCTCTGCAGAACTCCTCCCCTTCTTTGCTACCTCTGTATAATTCTAAAACCCCAAACCCAAGGTTATATCCTGCATTGCAGCTTTGGGTGTAGAGGTTACTTGCTCTTGTTTGTCCTGCGTTTTGTGCCGAGATGCAAATCTTATCAGCAACCTATTACGTGGGACGTTCTGGGAGGGTGCCGTGGTCTCTCAGCATGGACGATGTGCTTCAAGAATAAGGTCACGCTAAGACCGCTAATAAGTCACTAATTTGAAAATTTACTCAGAACTAACTGCGTCCAGCTCTCTCCCTCTCTTTCCCATACAGACACATCGGATGACTCTTTCATCGTGTTGGATGTTGTAATCAGTTTTTTTCTTTCTCATCTGTTTTAGGATTTTATTGATAAAAACAATGGTTTGACCACTGTTATAGCTGAGCATGTTTCTCTTGTCCGAATGCTTGCTTTTAAAGAATTTTAAAACTATATTATAAGAGGTTGGGTTTGAGGATTTATTTTAAGCTAGTCTTTTAAAAGATGAATGGCAATTTGTATGATTTGTTTCATGCTGATTTAGTCCTTATTATAATATATATCCTGCTTCATGAGAATGGTCCTTAACTGATACCAAGGGAATATGAGAAGCGTTTGAACCTGTATGCCCAGCTCATTTGGACGTGTCGTGCCACGGGACACACATGCCTCACCCACGAAGAAGCGTGTAAATCAGAGCAAGTTGTGACCGACCAGCTCAAGTCACAATTTCCAAAGTGTTTTGAGAAAGAAGTGCTCTCACAAGTTCACCACAGTAAGTCCTCTCACTTTGTATCCAGCTTGTAACGTGGTGAAAGTGTAAGTATATTTCGACTGCCCAGTGTAAGACTCCCATCATCATTCATCACTTTTCGAAATGACTAGAGTGGAGTCTTCACGAAGGTATCAGGAAATTTGCTTCTTGTCAATATGAAATAAAATGTAACAAGTGTTTTTATTGAAAGTTCTGACAAATGATTAATGTTTTATCACACTGATTTTACCTTGTGGCCACGTTTATCGATAACTTATCTGTCTGTCAATCTGAATGTATTTGAATTTTGAATTTACAGTATAACATGGATAGGTTGAACACAGAAGACTAGAAATCATGCATCGGTTGAACTGTACCTGCAGTCCTGGGGGTTTTTTTGTTTTTATTTATCTTAGTAAGATATATATCCCTCTTACTACCGAGGCGGGTTCTGGCGAATTTGAGGTATCCGTGTTATACACATGTACTGTTTTTAGAATATAATAGAATACTATTTTTTCTTCTAGGTGCTGTTTGTACATGGTGTGCCTCAAAATGTGAGATACTTCAGCTTTTCTTTTCTCATAAGTGAAATGTTTTCTCTCATCTCAGGTATCTTGAGCTTGGACTCCCTTGTTGACAAAACTTGGTGGACGCTGCATCAACAGTTTGTCGTAGGAGAGAAAGTCAGCCTGAAAGTAAAAGTTGCTGATAAACTGTAAGTGTAGAATATATGAGGCAGAGCGGTGAAATCATGCGCTCGTCAAAATAATGGAATTGAAGAAACTGGTATTTTTCCACCAGTTTGACAATTTTTATCGAATTTTGGTTTTTAAGCTTCACACCATTATTGTCCAATTGAAAACAAGTTTCTGGGGTGGATTTTACTGGAAATTTTGATTTTAAAGGCACAAAAAAGTAAGTTTTCAGTTTCCACTCGCTAATTCTACCTTTGAAACCAAGTGACCCCGCCTTCTTCAATCTCAAATGTCTTGACTTCTTTTCAAGATAGGCATTTTTTTCACCGATAGTTAGGCATCTGAACAACCTTTAAGATGATACCAATAACTCCATATGTCCTAAAATTGAGGAGCGCCTGATTCCACCATGTCTTGACACATAATAGCTGACTTTTTTGGGGTTTTTTTTGTCCATATCCTTTTTTACCCAACACACAATTATTCTTTTTTTTTTTTTAATATATTTTTCTTGTTCTATTTTTCTCTTGTATGGTTTGCACCGTTTTTCCTGTCAAACATCTGTCATCCTGATCTCTCCTCCTTTTTCTTGTATGTTACTTTTTCGTGATGCCTCAAATCTTAGGCCTTGTATGACCTGTTTGTGTTGCAGTTGCTATAAAACTCTCCCTAAAACTTTTTAAAAAATCTCTGGAATGGCTTTGTTTACTTGTGTTGTTGTGCACTCACATCTGGAGTTGGGATTTTATTTCCATTTTCCGTATGCTCAGGAGAATAAGTTCTGCGTTTTATATTTGGTCATCTTAGTCTAGTGATTTATTTTTTTCAAGTGTTCGGGGTACATAATTTGTAAGCGTGTGTTTGTTCTCTCTTCTTCCAGAATTCCTGCAAAAATTGTTGGTGTTGACTCGAGCTCCAACGAAGCGAAAAGTGGGGCAACATGTAACTCACCCTCCAGCGACAAAGAAAACAGCAGTGAGGAAAAAGATGGGAACAAGTCTCCCAAGAAATGGGTGCCTCCAAAGGTAAGCCATTGAAAAAATGGATGTACCATCGTTTACTATGTACCTTTAAAATTGATTTGTAAATCCATAATATGTATCATGTTAAGCGCATAGAGCATTGCATAAGTGGATATGCGCTATATAAATGCAATCCATTATTATTATTATTTAAAAAAGAAAAAAATCTTTTGCATTCTTGTGATCTATTTGTGTTGCAAGTGCCGTAAAACTCTGTGTAAAACTAAATGAACACCTTTATTGTTCCCAGTGTTTGTGATTTGTCTGATCCTTGTATAAAACTTTGTAGATGGTTAGTGGGTACTCTTGTGTGGTTTACTCTTTCTTTCCTGTGAAACATATGTCGTCGTTATCTCTCCTGTTTTGTATTTGTTACTCTCTTGTAACACCTCTATCCTTCGGCTGTGGGTGGTTGGCGGGTGCTCTGGTGCGGTTTGCTTCTTCTTTCCTATCAAAGATCTATCGTCCTTATCTTCTCCTTCTTCTTTTTTATGTTTGTTGCTCTCTTGTAACACCTCTAATCTTCTGGCGCTCGTATGACCGTATGCAGTTGCGAGTGCCGTAAAACCTCTACTAAAACTAAAACTAACCTTCGGCTTTTTATGACCTAATCGTGTTGCAAGTGCCATGTTTATGTTGTTCCCGCATCCGATCCGGACATTAGGGATTTCTTTGTTAGTGAGACAACTTCCTTGGCCTTCGGCATATTGTGGTAGAGTGGCCAGTTCCTGTCCACGCCACCTTTACTTCCCCAACTCAGAAGTCAGGTAGTGTCCGAACCGAGGCTTGGACCCGGACTTTTCGCTTTGGAGACGAGCGCATCGACCGCTCGGTCACCGCACCCTCAAGTGCCATGTAGGCTGTACTAAAAACAAAGTCTAAAACTTTGGTGTTATTGCTGTTTTTCAGTTCCTACCTTATACATACAGTATTGAGCTGGAGAATGAGGCCAAGATCATTCACTCGGTACCCGCTGCTGACCTGATGTGAGTATTGTGTTGTTTCGAAGACATCATTGAACAGCTTCTATGAAGTTCGCTGTGAAAAGTATTCAATTGAACCGGTTGCAATGGCCTCTTGTATTGTATAAGATAATCGTCTGTACAAACAGCCACTTCCCATTTCCTCCCTGTAAAGATTTTAAAAATTAGAATTACACTGGAAAACGGCCACTTTTCTCCTCAACTTTAGGTGGCCGTTTTAAAGTTTCGACTGTATATCTTTCTTTATCTGGTGCTTTCATAAGGTTTCTGTCTCTGAATAAAATGTTCTTTGAATTGATTGCACTAAGGCGTGACGATAAAGAGAAATAATGTGTGTTGTAGAATGGTGATATGAATATTAATAGAAGTTGTGTGTATTTTGGAAAATATTCGATATTTTGAAAAGTTAATCAAAAATAAAACTCAGCCTTCCTTAAAATGTGTTTTGCTTGTAGAGGAATACTGGGGTATTTTGGGTCAAGACATATTGCTCAGTATGTAGAAATGAAGATGAATTAAGGATGAATGTGGGTGTTTGGTAGGTGCTCTGGTGTGGTTTTCTCCTTTCCAATAAAACGTCTATTTTTCTTATCTTTCCAATTTCTTTTCTGTTTCTAGTAACACCTCTTATCTTAGGTCTTTTGTGTGACCTATTTGTGTTGAAAGTGCTGTAAAATTCTTGCTAAAACAAAAAACTAAGGATGAAATAATCTTAACTGGTGTCTTGTCTGTGTATTTCAGGAGAGACGAGAAGGCGCCATCCAAAGATCTGCTGCGCCTGTACATTCGTGTGTCTGCCATCCGCTCCGGGACGCTCTCCACCAGCCCCTGGGTGGTCAACGCTGACCTGGTCAAGCAGTACAAGCTGATCAGCAAATTTGCCGACTTTTTCTTGTCGCCGATGAAGGTGAGTTTTTGTCGCACCTGGCGCCTGCCTAACCCTGAGATATGCTGATTTTCGGAATTGCTAGAATAACTGTCCTTATGTTGCACTATGTAATGTAAAAATTATCTTTGAGCTCTTGCTAATAGCCTCAGCTTAAAAATAGTGTTCTACGGCGTGGCCTCTGACAATAGAATGTTTGCTATCTGTATTTGTCGTAATGTTGTTGATTAAGTGACACTTATGTATTTTTCTTTTTGTATAAATAATAAACATCATTATAAATCAAATATCTCCACTGGGATCAGTAATAGTGGAATTTTTTTATTTTTTTTATTTGTGATCTTAGTTCTGAAAGTGGTGTCATTTTGATGTGATTGTTTGATGGTAAATGCTTTGAGCCTTCAGTCATGCTGGTTCAATTTTTTCTTTTATCTCATCAGATGGCCGATGCTTTTAAAAAAGCAGAAGAGACTGGCAAGAAACGGAAGTTGTCTAATGGAATGGTGGGCTCTGCTGCAAAGAAACTGAAACTGGAGAAGAGCTCTGAAAAGCCTAAGAAGAAAAAAGACAAATCAAAGACGCCACAGGGTAGTAATAAGGCCGACAAGAATTCCTCTTCAAAGAAGAAAAAGAACCTGAACAAGGACTCTAATAAGTCGTCGGCGAAAAAAACCTCTCCGTCCAAGAAAGCTGCTACCACTGGTAAAAAAGCGTTGAGTAAAGAATTCGTAGTCGTGTCGGACAGTGATTCGGATGCCGACGTCTCGCTTGCTCAGCTGAAGAAAGGGTCGGGTGGTGATTCTGATGAGGACAAACCTTTGTTTCAGCTTGCTGGTGAGGTCACGCCGAAAAAGAAACAAAAGAAATCAAAAAAGGATGACGACGATGTGCCTCTGAGTAAAATCTTATCCGACGGGTCGAAGAAGGCTTCGTCCAAAAATAGCACACCTCTGAAAAAGAGCCCGTCTAAGGTTCAGAAAAAGAATGAGAAAACGCCAACGAAAAAAGGTGCAAAGCAAGGGAAAGATGGGAAGGAGAAGTCAACACCATCAAAGAAAAAAGGTGGCTTGAAGCAGGTGACCCTCTACGATCTCACCAAGAAGGGGAAAATGATGCAGAAAAATTCAGACTTCACAACCCCACAGAAAAAGTCTCCAGGAAAGGCAGCATCTAAGGCGTCACCCCCTAAACCACCTCCAACGCCAGCCATTGTCAGGCGCCTGTTGTCGTCGAGACGAGAAACGATGAACGATCGTGTGAAATACTCATTGTTGCTGAAGAAAGCCGTGTCGGTCTTAACGTCAGTGCAAGTGAAAAATTTGCCGCCGAAACTTAAACAGGAGTACGAGAGAAAGAAGGCTCTGATAGAGGAAAAGACAAAGATGGAGAAAATGTCTGCAGAGGAAAAAGAGGCTTACCTTAAAGAGAAGCGAGAGCGAGCGAAGAAGGTTCAGAAACAGAAGATGCTGGAGAAGATGAGAGATCAGCGTAAAAGGTTTGAGGACTCGGATCTCTCGCTCACTCCGCTACCTTCCCCGAAGCTGGTCTCCACTCCCGATGGCTTCCCTAATGAACTTTTCGGGGACGTTGCCATGGTTACAGAGTTCATCAACTGCTACGGCGGCCTGTTGATGCCCGATTCCGAGTACCCCATCTACACGGATGCGTTGATGAAAGCTCTTGTCGGGGGCTCCACTGGCTTCACGTACCTGTCCCGTGTACTGACGGTCTTGTTGCAGACGCTGCTGCAGGATCAGATAGCAGAGGTGAGTCTCGGAATAGGGTGTACAACTTTTTTTGTATTTCAATGTTGACTTTTTCCACTCCCTTTCTTTCTTTTCTACTCTCCTTGTTCTTACTTATCAGTGTTCTTTTGTTCCCTTGAACCATTTCCTCTTCCTCCATTTTTGAAAGATGTATTTCTCACCGTATTATTTTTCATTGTGGGTGGTTGGTGGGTGCTCTGGTGTGGTTTGCTTCTTCTTTCCTCTCAAACATCTATCGTCCTTATCTCCCCTCCTTTTTTTTATGTTTGTTACTCTCTTGTAACACCTCTAATCTTCTGGCGCTCATATGACCTTATGCAGTTGCAAGCGCCGTAAAACGTCTACTAAAACAAAAACAATTTTTCATTAAGGTGGTTTTTTTTGTTTTTTTTGTTTTGTTTCCTGGATTATTTTTTCCTCAAATGATGATGAATTTCTCAAATTTACCTCAACGGATGGGTGGCTGGCTGATGAACGTTTTGTTATGCTGGGGTTTTTTTTTTCCTATCATTGTTCTTCTTTTTGTATTTTGTTTTCTTCAACAATATATGTGGATGCGATTTGTTGGCGTACTTCTTTACTTTATAATCCCTCTGTTGTTTCTATCAGTCTTATACTTTAACGTAACTAATAAACGTAACTTAATGACCGTTATCGTGTCCAAGTGCATCTATTTGAAGTGAATTATTATTAAATCTTTGCTGTCAATGTTGCGTCTTGTTGAACAACTGGCAATATAAATATTTCAAATCTTAAATCTTCGATGAGAGATCATGGGTATTTTGACGCTTTGTTTGTTGATGATTTACTCTGCCTTCACTTATACTTATTGTGGGTGGCTGGTGGGTGCTGTTGTAGTTTGCTCCTTCTTTCCTATAAAAAAAACCCTCTTGTCCTTATCTCTTCCTTTTTTGTATTTATTTCCCTCTTGTGACACCTCTAATCTTTGTCACTTATATGACCTTAATAAATTGTGTTGCAAGTGCAGTAAAACGCTTACTTAAACTAAATTTAAAAATCACTTTTTTCTCCCCGTGTTCCAGGAGTACAAAGAGTTCCGCACACAGCTGTCTGACGTCGCAGTTAGTTCGTTCACCGCCTCTGAATTGGTCAGACTCTGTTTACGCGACAATGGCGACGAAGATGATGGAGATGTGGTAAGACACAAATATATATAGCTACCCTAGAATTACAAAGTTCTCTCTGTTCAGTACCAAGTTTTGAGAAACTTGACGTTGAAAATTTTGAGTTTCACATGTCGTGCTTTTCTGAATACAGTTCTTTGAATATCGTGGTAACGACTCAGAATAATCTGACGACTTTGATAGAGTAGATAAGATAATAGTTGGTTTCTGACCTTGTGGTCTTAGTAATTCAAAACGGCAAAAAATGTAGGATAGAACTTTTTTGTAATTCTAAGGAAGTGATATATATCTAACTTTTGTTTTGTCTACATTCTAGTGTATTGATTCTTTCCCTATAAATGTTTTTGGCCTGTTTTGATGGATGATGTCAACTCAGTTGGGAAGCAGATTTTTTTTGTTTTTGTGAAAACGCATTTGTGGGCACCACCGGATTGACTGTATAACTGTCACTGAGAACGAAGCAGAATATAAGTTTTTATTGATGAAATTTTACAGCCTACAAGACTCAGTGTTGCTGATTATGAAAGCTGGGCACCTGGTCAACGGTCAGGTTACCATGTGTGGGGGGGATATTGCGGGAAGAGAAAAAATTTTCCTTGTCTTCCGAATGCAAAGATGTTTGAATTGTGTTCAATTCTCGTTTGGAATGTTTTGAGTTTTTCCTGAGAAAAGGTGGATTAGCTGTATGAAAGCTGTGGAAAAACATTTTAATTATCACCTGGCCACCTTCCTCAGCCTAGGAATTGTACCAGTTACTTTTGCTCTTTAGGTGAGCTCCTTGTATTCAGATTAACAAGGTAGGTGGTTGGCGGGTGCTGTGGTGTGGTTTGCTTCTTATTTCCTATCAAACGTCTATCGTCTTTATCTCCCCTCCTTCTTTTTTGTGTTTATTACTCTCTTGTAACACCTCTAATCTTCGGCACTTATATAACCTTATTGTGTTGCAAGTGCCGTAAAACACTTACTAATACTTTTTTTAAAAAACCTAACAAGTCCCCATCTCTTGCGTTTCAGCCACAGGAATACATTCAGAGTCTCCATGAGTGTGAGTTCTACCAGCTGGACCTGGAGCCCAAGCTGTGCGTGCTGAAGGCGCTGTGTTCACGCGTGCTGGACACGTACTCTGTGCAGGATTACATGGAGGAGCAGCAGGGGAAGGCCAGTGCCTTGTGGTGAGTCTTCCTAGTGGCGGGTGGGCTGTTTTCTTGTGCCCAATTTTCTGTCATGTCTATGTGGGTAGTTGATGGGTTGTGGGTGGTTTGTGCCCAATTTTATGTCATGTCTTTGTAAGCAGTTGATGGGTTGTGGATGGTTGACGGGTGCTCTGGTGTGGTTTGCTCCTTCTTTCTAACCAAATGTCTATCGTCCTGATCTCTCCTCCTTCTTTTTTGTTACTCCCATGTAATAGCAATGCCAATCGCCCGCTGCGCCTTGTGCCGGAAATCGGCCTCCGCGCGAGGGGTATTTTTTGGGCCGCTCGGAATCAGAAGTGACTCTCTTCTAAGTTTAGTTACGGGAAAACTCCTGGACGAAAATCAATGAAACTCGGCAACCAACCAGAGGAAAGGTTAAACTAACGACATGCCAGCGTACAATCCCGAACGATTACTAGAACCGGAGATATTGCCGTGTTTGTGAGAATTTCCTCTGCGGTTCGAAAACTAAGCGGAGCAGCGGGTTGATCGCCGACCACACAAGCGCCCCACATGTCTTCTTTATTGCTGTAAAATTTCAGATCTCTGCGTTTAGTAGATTTTCCGTACCAACTTAAAATTACCACCCACCCATTGATAAAACACTAGATCTAGAAACTTAATCGCGCATTCAAAACGCGAGGTGCCGGCATGCAAGAGGCGCGTGATTGCTAGGCGGCATGTGATTGGCTGCCTATAACCAAATGGGTCACCGATGACTACATCGCGGGTTTTCCCGATAGCGCTTTACTGAGTTTTAGAAGGGGTGATCGCGTCGCGGTAAAAACGATGTCACGCAATTCAACAAATTTCACGCAAATATCAGTGTTTAAGATCCAAAGTAATGAAGACAACGAAAAAGTGATAGCAGAACTAGATTTGGCACTAAAAATCACATGGAGATGCCAAGTTTCATTCATATGCTCCAATTCATTACTGACTTATGAACAGTTTTTCCTCAAAATACATCAAAACATGTCCCACATTTTGGCGATTTTTTCCTATATGAAGGTCCTCCAACATTTTGCAAGCAAAAATCCCAATAACTTTTTTATTTATCAATGGATTTTTAAAATTTAAAAACCACAGTTCTTAGAATTTACTCTAGTTTCATTTAAGCCCATTTTTAAGCAATTCGGATGAAAATTTAATTTTTCATTGTCATTGCTACATGTAAGACCTCTAATCTTCGGCACTTATATGACTTTATTGTATTCAAGTGCTGTAATACTCTAAACTAAAAATAAAAACTAAAACTTCCTTTTTTTTCATTTTGTTTCGTCTGATGAAATCTTTAGAATTAACATATTTACTGAGAAATACTTTTTCTAAAAATTGTTATAGTGGTGGTTTAATTCGATTTTTCTCATGGCATTACAGGAAAGAGAAAACTACTCAAATGAAGCAATTGGCTGCGCAAAAGAAGTCTCAGAAACAAACATCTGGCGATGGAAAAGCTTCAACCTCCAGCGCAGGCGATGATAAAGCTCAGAAGAAAGACGAGAACAGAGTAAACGGAGAAGAGAAAGGATCCAACGATGAGAAGGATGAGAAAATAAAGGAGAATGGCGTCAACATTTTGACTTTCTACGGGAAAGAGGCAGAAGACAGCGGGGAGGAGGGTAACAACTGGGGTTCTATCGTCAAGCGCCGCAGGGTTCTCGCGGCTAAAGCGGCAGCGGAGAAGGAGCAGCAGGAGAGACAGAGGGCAGCTCTCCGGGAGAAAGAGTATCAGGTTTGCAGTCTTTTTGTGGGTGGTTGGCGGGTGCTCTGGTGTGGTCTGCTTCTTCTTTCCTGTCAAAGATCTATCGTCCTTATCTCCCCTTTTTCTTTTTTATGTTTGTTACTCTCTTGTAACACCTCTAATCTTCTGGCGCTCATATGACCTTTTATGCAGTTGCGAGTGCCGTAAAACCTCTACTAAAACCAGCAGTCTTTTTCTTCTTCTTTTTCTCCCCTCTCCTTTTTCTTTTATCTGTTCTCTCACAAGTGATCCTCGCTTTCAGAATTGTGTGGGTACTTCTCTGTGTTGACTGCGTCTTTTCCTCACAAAAAGTCTCTGTTGTTGTACTGATTTTTTTAGTAATATGGCAACAACCATTTCTGGCTTTTAAAATCTGGCTCTGTACTGCTTTCTGTCTTGGCCTTTACTTCTTCTTTTACAATCACTTTTGTAAAATAGTAACAGCTTTGGTAAGATAGTGTAGTAAGTTCTTTGACTATTAGATAGTGTAGTAAGTTCTTTGACTATCAGATAGTGTAGTAAGTTCTTTGACTCAAGACAATGTTTCATATTTTTACTTTTTTGTTTCTTGCTCGCCAGTGAATGCCTTTCATAAAAGATCGATGAAATCTAATTAAACCTTTTCCTATCGTATGGAAGTTTTCAATTTGTTGTTTATTGAGTGTAGTCTTTGACTTAACATACATGATCAGGATAAACACAGTTGTATTTTTTTTCTTTCTATTTCACCTACGTAGGAGGAGAAAAAACGAGAGAAAGAGCGGAAACGCCAGGAACAGATGGACGATGCCATCTCTCTTGCCCGCATGGTGCTGCGGCAGGACCCGATTGGCACTGACCGTAACCATGACCGCTACTGGGTGTTCACAAACACCACTCCAGGCCTCTATGTCGAAAAAGGTCTGTAATGTGTTATATAATATAACATAACATCTGTGGTCAGATTACTTGATAAGATAAACTGTGTGAGTGGTTGGCGGGTGCTCTGGTGTGGTTTGCTCCTTCTTTCCTATCAAACATCTGTCGTCCTTATCTCCTCTTCTTCTTTTTTATGTTTGCTACTCTCTTGTAACACCTCTAATCTTCTGGCGCTCATATGACCTTATGCAGTTGCGAGCGCCGTAAAACCTCTGCTAAAACAGACAAAGATAAACTGTTTTTATTTTTAATATAGTCGGGCACGGGTAACTCAAACACATCGGGAATTGAAGAATGTGTACTACACATCCCTAATTCGGGTCAGCTGATGATAAAAAGTCTGTTATTTCCGTCTATCAGTCTTGCTTCTTCTCAGCGCTAGACGACCATTATAGTAGTGTGGATGTGCTTCTTTTTGCTTGATCTGAAACAGAATATACCACAGTGAACCTCTGTCTGTTTTATTTTTTTCAAGTTAAGTTGTTTAACATTTTCATGGTTGATTATTGTTACTGGAGTGATGCGTTTTTTCTAAACCACATGGCAACCAGATTGTTGAAGTTTGCTTACTTGCTTTGGTTGCTGGTTTCTACTACCAGGTTTTCTTTTTGACATTTTTCAAAGATGTGGGCACAGTATTTGTTATTGTGTGGGCATTATCTTTGTATTTCAATGATGATATGCTTTTCAGGATTTGGGCTCGGGGGGGGGGGGGGGGGTGTTTGCTTGTTTCTTTTAAAAAAAGTTAAAGCTCCTTTCACTTTATTCATTACTTGATGTCTTTCGTGCAGGGTGGATTGGTGACTGCATCAGCTACTCTGTGGGTAAACTGAAGGCTAGGAAAGACGAGCTGGACGACGATGATGATGTCGACGAGAGCTCCGAGGATGAGATGGACACCAGCGACAAATCACCCGTGGTCAGCCAGACTGGCAATACTCCGCTCAAAGTTGTCTACAAGACCAAAAAACATTTCATAGAGAAAAGGTGAGATATAAGATAAGATAAGATAATACTTTATTGTCCCAGAGGGGGAATTTTTCTTTGCTGTACAGGACCGTTAAAAACACATGCGGGTATACATTAAAAAAAATTAACTTATGTATTACTCTCATTAAAATTCAATATGAAAAGACAAGTAAAGCTGACAAAATGTACATTCACATCAGATGCATGGTTCAGTGTGGTGGTAGTATGTTCATTATGGCAGTATTGGTATGTGTAGAGGCTAATTCTGAACTCGACTTTGATTTACTTGAACATGATGTGACATGATTGATTTAGACTCTTCTATACTTTGGTCAGTCCTTAGAAAAGTTTGCAGCTTGAATATTTCTAGAGTTGGCCAGTGTGCGATGGACACCATTAAAGATGATAGTAAAGTGCTGTTTCTTTGTGAATGCCAAATATATTTTTACAAAGACAAAAAATTTATGTGGGTGGTTGGCGGGTGCTCTGGTGTAGTTTGCTCCTTCTTTCCTATCAAACATCTGTCGTCTTTAACTCCCCTCCTTCTTTATGTTTGTCACTTCCTTGTAACACCTCTAATCTTCCGGGGCTCATATGACCTTATGCAGTTGCGAGCGCCATAAAACTTCTATTAAAACAAACAAAAGAATTTATTTTTTCATAAGTGTTAACAAAAACTTGTGTTTGTATGTTCCCAGTGCACCTCACTCGGGACAGAACCTGTGGTTTACGTACAAGTCTCAGAAAGATCTTGACGGACTCCTCAAGGCCCTGCACCCTCAGGGAATTCGTGAGAGTTTGCTCAAGACTGAGATCAAGAAACGTTACGATGACATGTCAAGGGCTATTATACAGGTAATTCTACGGATGTTAGTTGTTGTTTTCTCACACATGATTTAAATTTACCATCCAGCTCCCTGCCCCCTTCTCCATTCTCTGTCTTATTGTGTTGCTCGGCTTCAGGCAGTGGGTGGTTGGCGGGGGGGGATCTCTGGTGTGGTTTGCTCTTTCTTTCTTTTCAAACTTTTGTCTTCCATATCTCTCTTTTTTTTTTTTCGATGTGTTTGTTACTTTCTTGTAACTCCTCTGATCCTCGGCATTTGTATGACCAAGTGCCGTAAAACTTGCTAAAACAAAGCTTCAGGGCTCTCTTTTCTGGAATGTTGTCCTCTTGTCTTTTTTTGCTCCAGGCCAGTCCTTCTTCCTCCTGGTCCTGTGCTTTGGAGAGTTCTCTTTGTACATCATAATGAATGGAAGATACCTATACCACTTCTGAGCTCACTGACGAGCTTGATTCTGTTTGTTAATATTATTATAATAATAATAATAATAGATAGCATTTGTATAGCGCATATCCCCGCTCATCAGCAGGCTCTATGCGCTTTACACTATATTATTACCCCAGCAGACCATAGAACACTCCAAAACATTCTCAGCTTCCTGGGAAGCATACAGTGCAAGCAGCCGATTAAGCACTCAAACACTAACAAACTGACAAGATCTTTCGCCGTCTATAGCCGGGTACCCTTTCCCACCTGGGTGAAGTGAGGAAAGTTCGTGTAAAGTGCCTTTCCCAAGGACACAACGTCGGGCCCCTGGCGGGATTCGAACCCACGACCTTACGGTTGCGAGTCCGATAGCCTAACCACTAGGCCACCGACGCCACAAAGGCCAATGATTGTAAAAGGTACTCATATCACAGCAGAATATGCTAACTTGCCTGATTGTTTTGTTTTTGCCCCCTTGTGGAAAAACCTCTTTTATCTTTTTATTTTCTGGATTGCTAACAACATCTTTTTATTTTATATGTACTTCAGGCACAGAGAATGAATCTTGAACTGCGCGACTCTGACGGCGATGTGGAGATGGTGGCTGGCTTCAAGAAGGAGTTGTCAGACATGGAGCTGAGGTTGCGGAACGGGGGTCTGGGCGGGGTGCCCAAGTTCGATGCTTGGGAGTCCCGTCTCATGGACACTAAGGAGATGAGCGTTATGGTAAGGCACTGGTCTTTTGTTTGATACAAATATAGCTGAACCTGCTCAGTGGGTGGGTGGCGGGTGCTCTGGTATGGTTTGCTTCTTCTTTCCTATCGAACGTCCATCGTCTTTTTCTCCCTTCCTTCTTTTTTGTGTTTGTTACTCTCTGCTCTCGTGTCACCTATAATCTTCAGCAATTGTATGACCTTATTGTGTTGCAAGTGCCGTAAAACACTTACTAAAACAACAAAAGAAGAACCTGCTCAAATGGCCACCTCCTGTCCAAGACAGTCATGGGAAAACATATTTCCTTCTCACTTTCCTTTCCCTCTTGAATTAAAAAAACCAACTTGTGACACTGTCAAAGATAGCCACTTTTCTCCTCAACAATGGGTGGCAGTTTGGGACAATTTCTGCTGTACATGAATCTGATTGAGCATTTACTGATGCTAAGTTTAGGTAGTTTTTTGTTTGTTTTTTGTCGTTGCTGTTTGTTTTCTTGTTTTGTTTGTTGTTGTTTTTTCGCTCTGGTGTAGGCAGGACTGTTTTTTTTATTTTCCCAGTTCATTTTTTCATGATTTAGGAATTTGAATGCCTTTATTTTAGTCTTCCCGATTTAAGAAAAGATTTAGTGTAGAACAGTTACAAAAAGTTTGTCTTCTTCTTGCAGCCTTTTTTATTTTTAACTCTTTTTTTTTCTTCTTTTTTTAAACCCATCCCTACCCTGTGGGGTGAGAATATAGTTCTATTTGGTACTTTTAGTCAGTTGAAGAAAGAGTTGTTGTTTGTTTTCAGGGCAAAAGTCTGTTGGAAGTGAAAGAAGGTATCCTGGACAAGTTTCTCCAGGGTTTCATGAAGCCAGTCGTCAAGGCAACGGATGAGGAGGTGAAGGAAGAACCTGGCAGCGAAGAGGAAGAGAAAGGTTTGTAGTTTTGACTCTTGGTTTCCCTGTTGTGTGGAGAATGTGTCAATTTTCTTTGTTTCGGAATTTGTAGGGTGAAAGGTTTTGTTGAAATGTAATTAATTGTCTCATGTTAGGTCTATAGTTTGAAATTTTTTTTTTTTTAATTGAAAGTTTCATGATCAGTTGTAGATGGAAGAACCGGTTATCGATAGTATAAGTGGGTGGTTGGCGGGTGCTGTTTTGTGGTTTGCTTCTTCTTTTCTATCAAACATCTATCATCTTTATCTCCTCCTTTTTCATGTTTGTTACTCTCTTGTAACACCTCTAATCTTCGACATTTATATGACCTTGTTGTGTTGCAAGTGCCGAAAAACTCTTACTAAAACTAAACTAACGATAGTATTGCTCGCCACAAAATGAGTAAAGCAAATTTCTCTACCATCCCTTTATTCCCGCATTCTGGTGGACTAGAGCTATTTTTATTCATCCAAGATTACTTGGGTTTTACAGATGAAAACGGTGAGGCTGGGAAGTCGACAGAGAAAGAGGACCGCCATCAACGTGCCGTGCGCGAGTGGAGCGAAGCTGTGGAGCAGTGTCAGTCCATGTCGAGGCTACACGTGTTGATGGCTGTGCTGGACACGTGCATCAAGTGGGAGAAGTCGGCAGAAAACGCGGTGAGGCTCGTTCGTTCGCTCGTTTGCTCTGATTGCAAACGCTGTTCTGTGGTCTGTTGGGGCTTTTCTTGCTTCTGTGTCTCTTTAGCAGATGGGTGGTTGGGAGGGCATGCCACAGGTAGGTCCTACTTTTTTTCTTTCCCTCTGTTGTTTCTGTCTGTCTTCCTTTTTGCCCCGCATTTAATAATCATTATAAATTGTCTCGATTTGCTTCTTTTTACTCAAACAAGCTGTTCTTTAATGAGCTTGCCAACTGTCCTGAATTTCGCTGGACTCCTGGATTTGGCAGTTAGAAATTTGATCGGCTTATCACATGCTCACTGCACCAAAAAAGTCTCATCTGATGTAATTTTTATTTTTGTTTGTTGTTAAGTGATCTGATGTTTTACTGATTGGGTTTTGAAAAAAAGTTGGCGAGCCTGCTTTAGATTTGGTATGTGGTTTGCTACTTTCCTATCCTCTACTATGAATAAAAATTCAGCACTTATACAATCTAATTTTGTTGCAAGTGCCGTAAAACTCTTACTGAAACAGAGATATAAAACTTGTGTTTTCCTCAGAAATGCAAGATCTGTCGTAAGAAGTGCGACGACGACCGACTGCTGCTGTGCGACGAGTGCAACCAGGCGTTCCACATGTACTGCCTGCGCCCCACCCTGGCCAAGCTGCCCAGTGGGGATTGGTTCTGCCCTGCTTGTAAGGTAAGCCAATGAGTTACGAGGGGGTTCTGTGTTCAAAACTTAGTGCAGTTGGTAGTTTTCAAATAATATGTGTCATGGCAGTGCATCCTATTGTCACTGCACACACATGCACACGTGTGGGCGCTCGCGCACACGCACACACACACACACACACACACACGCACTAACTCATTGGGATCATCATTTTGGTAAACTTTCAGTAATTCCTTCACTTCTGAAGTAAAAAAAAAAAGGTGGTGTCAAGGAAGGAAAAAATATAAATTAAATGCTCTTTTCTTTCCTTCCTGGTTTAAAATTGGTCAGTAATACATAATTTTAAATAATTTTTTTGATTGTAATTTGAAATCTTTTTTCTCTCTCTCTCTCTCTCTCTCTCTCTCTCTCTCTCTCTCTCTCTCTCTCTTTTGTCATTGGTGGTATACCTTGTTTTGAAATGTTTCCCTCTGTAGATGGTGTCCAGTTTGTTCACAATGTTCTTCCTCTTTCTTTGCTTTCAGCCCCGAAGACCACCGATTCGACGTCCAATGGAAGTGAGTTTCATAAAATTTCATATTAAATTTCACAATACTTCTTCTCTGTTCTGTTTTATACGGGGGAGGGGATCGTTCTTGTTGGTTAACAAAAGAAAATTTTCTGCACATAAATTATAGTGGTGTTGATTAGAAATATCTGCATATAAATTATAGTGGTGTTGATTAGAAATATCTGCATATAAATTATAGTGGTGTTGATTAGAAATATCTGCACGTAAATTATAGTGGCGTTGATTAGAAAAAAAATGTCCTCTTTTTTAAAATGCAAATATAGATGTTTATGCAAATTTGAAAAAAATATCATGTACCTTGTTGACAAATTGTTTGCGAAACATCAATGAACCAGACGTCTTGAGTATCTTTCTAAATGCGCCAAAATGTTACTATTTTTATTTCTCGTCTAGTCTGAAAGTGATGAGGAGGAGGAGGAAGAGAAAGAGGATGCGTGCAGGGAGTGTGGCGGCTCAGAGAAACTGGTGGTATGCTCCAAGTGCCCTGCCGCATTCCACACACAGTGTCACGACCCACCCCTGAGACATCCGCCCAGGTGAGTCGCCGAGAGCGGTGATGGCTACAGTGGGTAGTTTTAGTTGTAGTTTTAGTATGGTTTTTACACCGGTCGCAACTGCGTATGTGAGGCAGCGTGGTGGAATCAAGCTCTCGTCAAAATAATCAAAGTGAAGAAACTTGCTTTTTTCCGCAGGTTTGTGAAATTTTATCAAATTTGTGTTTTTTGGCTCTGCTTCGACTATCAAGGCTCCGCGGAAATAGAGGGTCACAAGAGTGTGACAGACATACAGAAGAAGTAGAGGGGGGGAAATGACGATAGTAAGGATTAAGAAAGAAAAGGCAGCAGTTCCTTGTTGCAGTTCAAGCGCTGCTATAAGCATGACATTGATGAATCAGCCCATTTACAATTACAATTCTACTGTGCATAAGAACTCAAGTTTCCCTTTGGAAATGGCCTAAAGACACTTCAGTCCGTAGCACTGCCCCGGGGGGTGAACATAGGGTGTTATTAATTGTCTATGTTTCCATTAGAATGTTTGCTCTTAAGATTAAGACAAGCTTATTGACTCCTCTTTCCAGTCAAATGCTTGCGTTTAAAATTAAGAGACGCTTTTGGAGTCCTTTTTCCATTTGAATATTTGCATTTAGAATCAAGAGAAGCGCCGCATCGACTCCCTGTTTCCAGTTGAATGTTTGCATTCAGTATCAAAGTTGGGGTTTTGAGGGTGTTGTTGTTGTTGACATCTTCTCTGGCCAAACTGCAGCGTATGGAATAGATGGCCTCAACAATGATAGTACATAACAAGAGGGGCCACTTCTCTCTTTGAGCCAATTGAAAAAGTGTCCTCAAAATTTAGTGGCGCCCTCTTCACAAAAGCGCACTCTTTGCGAACAGAGTTACCCTACTTGAGTTTTTAAAAATCAAAGTGAAACTAGCAAGTTTTGGGATAAATTTCGGAAGAACGCTTTTTTAAAATGGTTACGCTGACAAAAAACCTCTTCCGGAGGAAAGGGTGATGGTTTTCTTCGTTTAATTTGACTTTAGAATGAAAGACGAGAGGTCATTAAAATTTTTAAAAACCTAAAACTCCGCACTGAACGTACCCGAACTGCTGATGGACAGCAGTCGATCTGCGCACACAAGGAGGTGCTATTCCTATTCTTCTTCTGGAAAAACGAAAGAGAGCTTCAAAACAGACTGCAGCGCCATCTGAAGCAAAGAGCATACTTCCTGCGGACACTTTTTTGGCTGAGTGGCCCATCTTGTTATTTACTATCTTTGGCCTCAACTTATTTAGATTGGCAGTTGCGATATTTTTACCTTGGTGTATCTGCTGTCTCCCACCTTTTGAAATGATCTATTTGTGTATGGAATGACTTTAAGGTCAGGCGTACCCAGCTCTGCAAGCACGCACACACACACACCCTCACAACACAAAACACACACACACACACACACTCACACAACACAACAAAACACAAACACGACACAAAACAAAACACACACGCTCACACAACACAAAAAACACACACACACACACACACACTCACACAACACAAAAAACACTCACACACACACACACACACACACACACACACACACACTCACACAACACAAAACACACACACACACACACACTCACACAACACAAAACACACACACACACACACACTCACACAACACAAAACACACACACACACACACACTCACACAACACAAAAAACACACACACACTCACACAACATAAAAAAAACACACACACACTCACACAACACAAAAAACACACACACGTACACACACACACACACACACACACACACACAACACAAAAAACACACACACACACACACACACACAACATAAAAAACACACACACACACTCACACAACACAAAAGAATACACACACTCACAGACACCCCCCTCCCTACAGACTGATTGTATTTCCGTTTCCATCATTCACTTTACAGAGGCGTCTGGGAATGCTCCGACTGTAAGAACGGGCTGAGCGGCAGGAGGAGGGGCAAGTTTTCTCGCAGATGTAAGTAATTTGTTTTCCGTTTTTCCTGATGCTCGTTGAGATATCCTTGTTGAAACTTCACTTCATCTTTAAGAGTCAACTTGTCGTGCTTTACAAAGAACATGATGCATGCTTATTTTAAAATCAAGATCATTTGGGGATTGGCCCTGGTTTTCTATTAGATTTCGGGGGGGGGGGGGGGGTAAATGGAATTGAGAAAGGTGTAACGAGTGACTGATTATATGGTGGTGTTATATATGGTTGGACTTGTTGTCCAAGACAGCATCCCATTGTCGAGGAGAAGACTGACTATTTGAGACGGGTACTCGTTTTGGACAGCGTCATATTATTTAAAAACACAAGGGAAAAAGTTCGAAGTTGTTGTTTTGTTTGTACATGGGATCGTCTTGGACATATGGCTGTTATATTAGGCTGGACTGTATTTTGTAACTTTTGTTTTCTTTTCAGCTGCCCCGAAGAAGAACTACAGGCAGGATGTGACGGCCAGTGAGGAGGAGGAGAGCGAGGAGGAGGAGGAGGAAGAAGAGGAGGAACAGCCGACCAGGGCACAGTCGAGATCTCGGAGTCGGCGCGGCCAGAGCAGCAACAGTAAGAGCAAGACGCCGCAGAGTGGCGGCCGTTCTTCCGCGCGTTCCAGAAGCTCAGGGCAGAGAGAGTCGCCGGCGTCGACCACCCCTCAGTCGAGGCAGTCGCGGAGAGGACCTTCTGAACTATCGGTATGTCTGATAGATTTTTTCGGGTTTTTGGGTTAAAAAAAAAAAATTACTTTTAATGCTTTTTTCCCTTAAGTGTAGTCAAGTCGAATTTCAATCTTGTACGCTTAAAGTGATTCATTTGTTCATTAAAATTTTTTTTTTTTTTTTGCTTAACTATATTTTGCCGATTATCTCTTATTGTTTTCATCATCACCCAGTGCCAGATCTGCGACAGACATCGGCGATCATTGTTTTCCATTCTTTCCGTTGCTCGGATGCGCTAAAAAAGCCACGTTTCCCTGATCTTTCCCCGCCACCCATCTGTTTAGGTCATCATCAATTTATGTTGGACAAATTATTATTATTATTTTTTAAATTATTATGCATTAGTTCATACATGATGTGTTTTGTGGTTCGCCCAAGAATGTCCTCTGTGTCATGTTTTGCTGCTGTCGTCATCCCAAAACTAAAAAACCAATTCTCTTCTCCTCCTCCTGCAGCTGTGTGAGGATGTGCTGGCCAGAGCCATGAAGCACAAGTCCAGCTGGCCATTCCTGGAACCTGTGGACAAGAAACAGGTGAGGTCACTTTCTCCCTCTATAGTGCGGTCTGCTTAACTCTTTGCCGTCACATCGCCGATCGACGATGTTTACCGCCCAGTATCTTTTGGATTTTCCCCAAAGGCGTTGGTGGCCTAGTGGTTAGGCTCTCGGACTTGCAACCGTAAGGTCATGGGTTCGAATCCCGTCAGGGGCCCGGCGTTGTGCCCTTGGGAAAGGCACTTTGCACAAATTTTCCTCACTTCACCCAGGTGGGAATGGGTACCCAGCTATAGACAGTGAAAGATCTTGTCAGTTTGATAGTGTTTGAGCGCTTGAAATCCGCAGCTTGCACTGTATGCTTCCGCGGAAGCTGAGAATGTTTCTGAGTGTTTTCAGAGGGTCTGCTGGGGTAATAATGGTTGTGAAGCGCATAGAGCAAGCTCTTGAGCATGGGTATGCGCTATATAAACGCAATTATTATTATTATTATTATTAAAATGCCTTTGCCTTGATGGCAAGGGTTTTTACTATCTGAGCCTTGTGATGGCGAAGTGTTCAACCATACACGATTCATTAAAAAAAAAGCACAGCAGTAAACTGAAAGAAAAGAAAATTGCTTATCTTTTTATTTTATTTTATTTGAGCAACCTTGCCAAAACGGGGGGTTCCAGCGGACCCATAAGATTTTGTTTGAGTGGTGGTCTCCACTGTATTTTTGATATGTCTAGATTCGCTCTTGGCTATTCGCCGCGAGACTTGAGTGATTGTGGGCCTTGTGTTGTGCTGTCTTTGCAGTCGGTGTGCTTGGGTGTCGTAATGTGTGTCACGATGGTGGTACTCATCGAAGAACCCAACAGTTTTCTGTTCGTTGGGTAATTTTATTTTATTTTCTTCTTCTTCTTCTCGATCGCTTCACACTTGAAGTCTGGTATCTGTCATAAGTTGGGCCGTCCTGCTCAGTTCATCTGTCGGCCCGTATAGCTTCTCTTGCAGCGTCAGTGGGGTTAGCCACGTTTCCTGTCTCAGGGCTCTGTGTGTCCTGCAGTGCTGAAGGATGTGTTCAACAGTTTGGTCCGCCTCTCCGCACTGGCGTTTTGGTGATTGTACTAGTTTAAAACATTTGTACATATGAATTTTATTTTATTTTTATTTTTATTTTTCTTCTTTTCTTTTTCTTCTCGCTCGGTGCTTTTTATGTCCTTGAAAACACTTGATTTCTGTGCACCGTTTTACTGAAAATTATCGATCAAAGGGCTCTACATCACTTCCTCTCTCGATTGCTTCCCATGTGTGCCGTTTAGTGACCGAGTCCTTATGGTGATGTTGTGATTCCCCTAGGTCCCTGATTATCACCTGCTCATCAAGAAGCCCATGGATTTCCAGACCATGCAGAAGAAATGTGCCCGCCTGAGCTACGCATCGCCCCAGGAGTTTATCGAGGACGCGGCCTTGGTGTTTGAGAATGCTGAGAGTTACAACAAGGTAAGGGCTCGGGGTTTGTTCTTTTGTCTTGTGGTCATGGTGCTGGTGCGGAAAGACTTACGTCTTACGAATCTTGAAATGAAATTTTTTAAAGTTATTTGTCATGTGTTGACTTTTTGCTACTTTTCTTTGTCAGTGCAGTAGAAATTGTCCCAAGACGGCGGCCCGTTGTCAAGGAGAAAAGTGTGGGTGGTTGGCGGGTGCTCTGGTGTGGTTTGCTTCTTCTTTCCTATCAAACATCTATAGTCTTTATCTCCCCTCCTTCTTTTTTGTGTTTGTTACTCTCTTGTAACACCTCTAATCTTCGGCACTTATATGACCTCATTGTGTTGCAACTGCCGTAAAACTCTTACAAAACTAAAGGAGAAAAGTAGTTATTGTAGATAGGCGACGTGAACGGTGTAGTGTCACTGTAATGCTGAAAAAACACACGGCAGGGGAGTGGGGAGTGGTTGTTTGTACGGGTGATAGTCTTGAATGGCCATTACAGCAGTTCCACTGCAACTGTCATTATTGTTTTCTAACTTACTTTCCTTGTGGGTGGTTGGCTGGTGCTCTGGTGTGGTTTGCTCCTTCTTTTCTATCAATCATCTGTCATCTTATATCTCTCTTCCTTCTTTTTTTGTTGTTTGTTTGTTACACTCTTGTAACACTTCTTTAGCCCTTATTTTATGATGATCTAATTGTGTTGCTGGTGCTGTAAAATGCTAACTATAACATTCCCTTCCTTTTTCCACAGCCGGACAGTGAAGTGTTCCAGTGCATGAGGGAGGTGGAGCAAGTGTTCAAGGACCTGCTGAAAAAGTCCCTGCCAGATTGGCCTTATTACCGTACAGTTGTGGAAAGAGGGGAGACATCGAGTGGCAGCGAGGGGGGTCGCAGGCGGTCAAGAAACAAGTGAACGGTGGCGTGTTGATGAAGATGATGATCATGACGAGGAAGTGCTGAGTACTTTACAGCCATCAGTTTGTGCAGCTGTGGGCGTGGTTCCTCTAGAACTCCCATGTACGCAGGAGACGTCACGGAAAACCGAGACTGGGCCGATAACAACAGTAATGAGAACCGTTACAGCGAGATCTGTCAGCCTGGAGCTGCCCAGTGAATGCCGCGAACACGGTGGACTTTTGCTTAACACTGTGTTGAGGAGCAAATTAAAAGATATTGATTAACTAATGACACGCTGAACCCAGATCCCAAACTATACGGGGGGCAACGGTGTCAACGTCATCAGACTTTGATCCTGATCTTGATCAGGCGAGATGTGGAAGTCTTGAAATGCTATGACGGAAGAAGACCAGCAGGCAGCTATTGCCTAGATGGATCTATAGCTTTACTGTCCTTCTTACCGCAGGGCATCGTGAAAAGCGGATTAGCAAATATTACGGAGGTGTTTTTCAAGTACAAGCAGTGGTATCCAAGACTTATAAGCTTTTATTTCTAGGATGCGTGCTCCTGGCATTTTTCCAGTGTGTGAGAAGAAAAGGACAATTTTGTATTTATAATAAAATGCCCACAAAAAAAAAAATATTTTGGGCTCAGAAAAGTTGATTTGAAATTCTGAAGGGCTTCGTACTATCAGTTCTCAATCCTTAATCTGTATCGGTTCATTTCTTTTGAACTTAAAGAATTATCTGAAATTGGTCAGACAGGGTGGTTGGTCAGCTAAAAATAGCCAGGGTTTTTAAATCGTTTGTTTCCAACCTTCTTTACGATATGGTCAAGGAATACAAAAAGATATGATATCCCAGTATGTGATTTATCGGGATTGATTTTATCGCAGTGATGTGCTCAATGTGTCTAGTGTAGGGCTCACATGTACGAAAACAGCTATTCCAGGAAGCAAAATGTTAAGCAAAGTCCACTGTTGCCATGGCTTGCGTCTCTGTGTTGTTTCGCGTCAGTTCCTCGGGGGGGGGGGGGGGGGGGTTCTAGCGTGACAGTTTGCTAGACGACAGTAGGCATCTACCACACTCACACACAATACATACACACATTCTCTCTCTCTCTCTCTCTCTCTCTCTCTCTCAAGTCCGTGGATGTCTTTTGAGGGAGAGAGAGAAGGGTGTCGCACTTCATTAACTCTCTTGTTGTTTAGTTGTGTTTGCCATGTTATTATTGACGACTCAAGACTTGTTTGGTATGTGTACAGGATTATTATAAATGAACTTTGTCGGCTTTTTATTTATTATTTCTGGTAACGTGGGTGGGTCATCAGGCACATGGGTTGGGAATTTATTTTGTGGGGGATTGTTTTTTTGTAGATGTCAGATGTCATAGTTTTACGCTCGTCTTTTTCTTATCATATTGTACATGTACATTTTTTGTTGGTCATCGAGGGCTAGGAGCCAGCCGGGGAGGAGTTGATGTACTGTGTTGTATTGGTATGTACGACTAACTTGTTATTTTACCGGCACCACATTTTTAACCTCGTTTCTGTTGTAACTGGTGTTCATTACGGGAGTCATGGACTGTCATACTTCCGTCTATTCCTCCCAGCCTTTCTTTGTTTTTGTTTTTCTTCCTGTAAATAATACTGACTTTTGTAGCAGTTTGTAATTTTTTCTTTGTATACCTTGTTTCGCCATTTTTTAATTTTTGTTTTTTGGTTTGTTGTGTTTTGTTTGTGGATTTGTTTGGTTTGCTTGTTCTTATGAGTGTAAAAGCTGACTTTTCTCTCTATGTATGCGTCCAGTGTTTTTTTAAAGTGCAGCTAACGAGGTTTAGACGTAAGATGGTGGGTTTTTAGAGTGTGCTTTGCTCCTTCTTTCCTGTTTAATGTCTATCTTCGTTTATCTCTCCTCCTCCTTTTTTCTTTATTACTCTCCTGAAACACCTCGAATCTTAAGCATTTATGTGACTTTTATGTGTTGCTAGTGCTGTAAAACTCTCACTAAAATGAAACTTTTTCCACTGTCCATTTTTTGCTGCAGGTAGTGGTAGGTGGTAGTAATGGTGGCAGCAGTGTAGGTGTTTGTAGTTGAGACATGAGGAGGGAGGGGGGGGATAGTGTGTTAATATCATATAGAGGGCTTCTTTTTTTTTGTAAATTGTTTTACGGCGCTCGCAACTGCATAGGTCATGTGAGCGCGTGGGACACACCTAATATTTTCAGTTGGTAGGAAATTTTGAATTTTGCGCGGGCGGCGGCCGAAGCCTACCCTTATCGATTTTAGACCACCAAGGGATCTTTAACGTGCGCAACTTGCACACGGGCCCTTCGAGATTTTTCGCCCTTGTCTGAGAAGGCTAGGTGTAGATCTTTCCTACCAGAAGATCAGGGGTGTGGCAGAAAGACAGCAGTAAGGAGGGGCCAAGGAGTAGCAGTAGAAAGGCTGCAGAAAGAGTCAGGAGCCCAGAGGAGGGGGTGGGGGCAGAAAGTGGAAATGAAAGCAGACAACAGAACATTGCTAGAGAGCAGGAAAGGAGGTGAAAGGAGACAATTTTAGAGAAGAAAATGTTTTGGTCGCTACCCGGATTCGAACCCGGGACCTTTGAATGAGAGGTCAACACCTTAACCTCTAGGCCATTAGAGCCCCCAGAGGGCTTCTCTTCGTGCATTGGGTAAACCTGTCAGTATAATGAAGAGGGTTCAGTAGTAGTAGTATAGGGTTTTACGGCGCTCGCAACTGCGTAAGGTCATACGAGCGCGCGAAACACAAGTTGTTTACTTTCGCAAAAGCTCACTGCACGATTGGTTAGCTATTAGACTTTAAAATGCTCAAATATTAAAATTCTGTGTAAATATATTTGCGATTTAAAACAACTCTTATAAGTAACAATAAAAATTTTAAATAGTACGACTTCACTTAAAAATTTGCCATAAAGGCCAAAGGCCTTCATAAAATTCAAAATTTTGCTGGGACCAACGACGGAAAAAATGTCTTGCAATTTCTTGCATTTATAATATTTCCTTCGGATCTCTCCAAAGTCTAGACATTCGGTGAAGATGTGTCTAATGGTAAAATCTGTGCTTATAATTGAAAGGACTTTCAGCAAACTATTTTTCTTCAAAGTCAGATTTGTTAGGGTGGCTTTCTCTTCTCTCATTTTCCTTGTCGAATTAAAAAAAAAAAAATTTCTGTCGGTGTGTCGGGTAGAGATAAGTGGTGAAATATGATGTGTCCGTAACGTGTTGTTTATTTTTGTTCCTTTGGGGTCGATAGATGAGTCTCTTTCCTTTCTTTGACTTTTACGTGTTTTTTGTTTTGTTTGTGCTTCCTTTTGTAGATATCTTGCTACCAGTGTCACATCTTCTTGTCTATGTTGGAGTTCGACATTGTCAAATGTTGTACATACGTTGTCTCGTCCCTTACGTGGAGGAGGAGGGGGAGGCGGCCTCGTTGTGTATATATTATATATATATTTAGAAAAGTGTCACATTTCGTCTCGGCCAGGTGTAAGTCGTCTTAGATGCTCAGGAATTCCCTTAGATTTTTAGGCTTTATTTTTAATCCGTCGCGAGTCGGTGTGGGTGATGAAAAGGAAATCGTTAAATCATTGACATGATCATAAAGGGAGATGGATATATATATGGAAATATGTGTTCATTACTCGATTCATCAGCCGGTCTGTTTTTTTTTTGTCAAAACAGCTTGAGCAGACAGATGTGTGTTCTCACATGTGCGGATTGGTCAGTTAGGTCCTTCTTGGGTTGTTTTGGGGGTGAGGGGGTAGGGGGAGTCCCTTGTTCATAGTTATTTGGGGGAGGGGGTGGGATTTTGTTGGGGTTTTTTCAACACTATCTTGTTGATCTGAATGGTCATGTTGCCACCAGTCTCGGGCAGATTGCCTCTGAAAAACAATTTTAGATGTTGGGGGGGGGGGGGGATTTTTTTCTCGATATAAAGTGATGTCCACGGATATGGCAGACCCAAGACCATTACTGAACTGTCCGGTCAGATTGCCATTTAAAAATCATTATTGGGACACGGTGGAAAACCTGGGTCCCAATATATAAAGTGATGCATAAGGACTGCACATAACTCAAATATAGCCCAAGCGACGTTTTGTTCATCTCGGAGTTGAGTGGTCGGTTGTCTGTGGCTGCGGGGGGGTGTGGTGACGTTTCTACAGAAGCGTTTTGTTTTAGTAGAGGTTTTACGGCGCTCGCAACTGCATAAGAGAATTTTCAATGTAATTGTCACGCTCTGTGCAAGTAAAAATGTCCTCATGCCATGATAGGAACAGAGAAATAAAATGTTTTGTACATTTTAGTCCTTCTAGTTTTAAGAATGTTTGCCTCCTTTGGATTTGGAGGTTCGTGGAAAAGTGCGTTCATTTGCAGCAGACCGTTCTCATAAGTCTTTGTAGCTCGTATTAGTTTGTCTACCCCAGTGGGTGGTTGGCGAGTGCTCTGGCGTGATTTGCTCCTTCTTTCCTAACAAACATCTACCGTCTTTATCTCTCTCCTTCTTTTTTGTGTTTGTTCCTCTCTTGTAACACCTCTAATCTTCGGCACTTATATGACCTTATTTGTGTTGCGAGTGCCGTAAAACACTTACTACTGAGACTAAAACGTCTACCCCATCAAAGCACAGCGAACGACTTGACCATGGTTTTCCCCTGTCCGCTGTATTCTGATCTGGAAAGTTTGGGGACGTGGTGGTGTCAGGCTGCCATTAGTAAGCTGCTTGTGTTTTGAGCAATGCATCGTGTGTAGCTGCTCTGTACAGATTTTTATCTCATTCATAGATGTATGTATGTATGTATGTATCTGTGTGTTCAGTGGTGTCCAGCAGCTTCTGTTTCCGGACTATGTTTGTTCTTTCTTGGATGTTGCGAAGTAAAAAGATTGTAGAACTACAGCCTTGTGTCTGGGTGTTGTTGTTGGCTATACTATGGTTGCTGTCACTTTAGTTTTTGATCTTGAATTAGCTTGGGTGGTGTATTTTTGGTGGGAGTTGAGGGTGGGTGGGGTTGAGAGGGAGAGACTGAGAGATTTCTGTCGTAAAAAGACCTTTATATAAATATATTATTATATCAAAATTTTGTATGCCTACAGTAGACATATTTGTTCCCTTTGAAGCCATTTTCATATATGTAATAACCTAACACATTGATCACTGTTTTTGTCACGGCAATTGAGAAAAGCTGCATGGTGTCTAGTAGTAATGATACTTTTCAGACAGAAAGCTATTGGGTTTATGTGTGTGTGTCTTCATCATATAGAGATGCTGTTGACCTTTGGGTGAAGTGTGTTCAAATTGTACTTATCCACTGATTAGTGTAAGGCTCTGCCACGTGCCATTTTGATGAGTTGTTGGCGGGTGCTCTGGTGTGGTTTGCTTCTTCTTTTCTATCGAACGTCTATCGTCTTTATCTCTCCTCCTTCTTTTTTTGTGTTCGTTACTCTCATGTAATGCCTCTAATCTTCCGCACTTATATATTGACCGATAGCGTGACCCAGCTGACTTGA